TGAAGAAAGTCATACGTGGAAGTCGTAAGCTTATTCACAACTGTGAGATGCAAGACGTGGACGGATAATGTCTCGTAACACTATGCGTAGGTATGAACGGAGCTATTGCTTAATTCAATTAAAATTTTGAACTGAAACCTCGGCTGGCTCGGATAGGCATTCGACATTGGAGGTTCTTCGGCATTTTGTCACCTGGTTCTGTTCCTTCGGCGTCGGAGCAGTGACAGTCCCGCGCCACCGATTGCGATTGCAGTTAATGGAGTGAACGTCCAACGGCCTAAATGAAGCTCTTACTAACCCAATAGCACTCGAGGTGTCCCATCGACTATGAGTCCGTGCTCAAGCAAGCGTGAAATTCTCTTTCTAAAACGCCAGTCTCTCGCTGAGAAACGGGCTGACAATTGCGCCTCGCACGGATGCCGGGCACAGTCTGTGATCATGCGTGCTTTGATTCTCAATCAAATAGCCTCCTCAGAGAAACAGCTGTAAAGTACCTAAAAATATTCAAACACAGTGTTATGTGTGTTTAAAACTTTGATTCTGAGTTACGAAAATTCGGTGCCTTAACAACAAAAGCTATGGCTGAACAGGGTCCAGCCTCGAGTTGAATGAGAACATATACAACGTGGTATTTAGTCAGAAAAAAATAAAGACCCTCTCCTGATACCTCGGTAATGAAAGAAGTTTTAACTCTCCACATTAAGGGAGAAAAAATCGGTCTTGGTTCTAGGAACCGTATTAATTCATTCAACCTAGTTTTTTCGATAATTCGATTGAAGAAAAGGTTGGTTTGGTGTAACCAAGGGTATGGTTGTCAGAAAGGTTTACGTGGACCGAAATGCTTATGGTACATATGACTACACCTCACTTTCCAGTGGTGACTCCCACATTCAGCTATTTGCATACCTTTGCTGTTGAGCGATGTGTCAAGCAATTCGTTTTGCGAGCGAGCTCATGAGTTCCATAAACTTGTTTCCCACATTGCATCTCCCGAAGTACATTATTCAACTAAGAGGTACTCAGCAGTCAACTGAAGGCTAAGCGACAGTCACTGTTATCCCTAAGAAAATATTTAAGTTCCCTAAAGTAAAAGTTTAAAACGTTTAAGACAGAGGTTTCGCCAAAATTGTCTTTTTTACTGATTTCAAAACTGCTTAAGAGTTGAAAAATAAAAGAGGCCTGCACGACCTATATTAAACGGTTAGACACTCTGAACATACGCCCATAACCCATATGGAGCCACCTGACTGCCAAAAGCATACCTAAAAATCAGAGACTTCACATAACAGCTGAAAATTTTACCTAAAAAATCAAAGGCGATTGACAACTACCACTCTCTTGGAAACTAATTTTCATCCTATGCATATTATGTTCATCTAACTTGTGAAATGATCTAATTTGGTTAAGTTTTCACTAAACAAGGTCGTAAACCAGTGCTGAGTCCTCACTATTTTGTGGGGAAAATAATCCCAGAGAGTCGAAAAACCCTGCAAAGTTTTCCCGTAAAATATTGTGGACCCAGCACTTTTTACCGCCTTGTTACGTACAGTTTGGGCCACATTTTGTAGTGTATTTTCTAGTCTTCATTAAATATTTATACACATTATGTAACTTCAATACTAACTTACCTACATTTCACTTGCATAAATACTTTACTTTTCATCAAAATTTGGGTATGTGCATTTTCCACAAGGGAGGAAAACGTTGCAGATTCATTTTCCATGAAGATCTCGAGAAGCTGAACAAAGACCTCTCTAACAAAGAAGATAGTCAACGATCTCAACTGACAGTTTCGCTTCAATTTTTCCGTGCGCGGTGAGTCGTTTCTGCGGCAAAAAGACGTAACTCATCACCACGCGAGCCACGGAGAGCATAAAGTCATTCGGACGTCAGAGCTCATCTCTAAGTGCGATCACACCTAGATGTCAGTCGTCATCATCGGTGCGTTGGGCCCACAGTCATATCTTTTGGAAACCTCTGGCTAAAACCGCGTATCTACATCGGGTTTACATCGCAATTGCGCGTTTCTCGATTCGCGCGTCGTAGCTGCTTTGTTTTCCCTTCGTTCATAGTCGATGAGCTCGGTTTTTTTCTCGATGTTTATTTTTTTCCACGACGACTGTCACCATGCTCGCGACACCCAGACCGAGTGAGCATTTGCTCAATGAAGCCTCAACGGGTGGCTGCGGCTTTGGGCTCCGTCTCCCGTGCAGAATTCCTTACGGTTCACCTTACGGCAGTCCCCCTCCCCGCCCCCACCCCGGGGAAGGTCAAACGCCTTTTGATCCTTGCTCTTCGAAGCGGTGCCATTCAACTCTCCCCTCAGGGTTGCCGGCAAGAAGCGATGGGACTCGTCCACCCCACGGAGAAGACGGATTTTGGGCTGGTATCTGGCAACCCCGCGTCCCGAGTTGTGAAGTCGCGAGCGTTCCTGGACGAATTTGAGTCCTTCGGGAGATTTTCCGGGATGATTATACGACGCTGCGCAACTTGCAACTTCCGCTTGCAGAATTGATATTGGCAAATCCGGTCTTTCGTTTTATGCAGAATGATTGTTTCCTCTCAAGTTCTTCTTCCTCGCGATGACGCCGCCTCCAGTGCTCTTTTAGGCGAAGAATGATTACAGACTGCATTAACGGTGATGTCCTTGTCGAAGCTCCCGAGATGCAATGTTAAAACTTTCAGAATGAAATCTGGCATTTCACTTGTGCTAAATATTCGAGAAAAAATATTTTTCACAAACTGATTGGGGTGGACGTACGGGTCGTAAAACAATATGTTGGAGTTTTTTTGCCAACGTGCGTTGAAAATTCAGCATAACGCTGAAAATCTCAATACAGAGGGAAAAAGCTCATTCGAGCACAGTTTTCCCTCAGAGAGATATGCTGTTTGGTGCAACACTATTTACGTCCATTCAGTCCATTCAAATATTTTTCCTTTAATTTGCTTTGGTTTGTCTGAAGATTCATTTGCGTCGGCGGTTTAATATTGTCTGCACTGTGTCCGCGAGTACTCTTGGTATTTTTATGCCTCAACTGAGGTAGGGAACTTCATTTTGCAATGAGGAACCACTATTTCTGGCTCATTCGTAAAAGCTCGTATCGGCCTATGGATGTATATGTCACACATACTGTTTCTATAATCAGCCAGAAATAGTAGATCCTACTTTCTAAATGGACCGCATTTTGAAATAAGGAGCCACAATTTCTGTTTACATACATAAAAACACCTACATGCATAGAAAAACTAACTGCACTCATGTTGTTTCTAAAATGAGCCAGAAATTGTAGTTCCAATCGCGAAATGTTGTTCAACTTTACTTTAAGATGAGGCTTGGCGTCCATCTAACACAGTGTTTTTTAGGGCTAGCTCGAAAATTGAGTTACGCCCTCCACTCAGCTGAGCGCGGTATTTTATATTGGTCGCTCAACATCTCATTTGGTCACCGTCCGGCTTGAGTAGAGACATTACGACGCCGGTAATTTAACGGCGTGGCGCGGAAACTCTTAACGAAAAGTGCCATTCTGGCCATCCGCATAGCGCCCTCTGACGGTAGGGCGACGCACAGGAGAAGAGGAGGTGGCTGATTTGTCGGCCAAAAAGAGAAAATATTTCCGCTATTGAACACGGGAAATAACGTGACCGTGCGTCATACCACTGCCCGGTTGCAGATGATCGAACATGGATCCAATAGAATATGTTCATCCATACCGGAAATTTTGAACAAATAAGGCACCTTAACAGAAGAGTCATTTACATTACCCCTCTGGTAAACATTATAACATAAATGTGCTTATAGGATTTAAAGAGGAACGGTCTGTAACAGCGCAATGGCGCCTAATGATTTTTTTTTTTTTTTTTTTTTATATCAGGGACACTCCCCTTCTATCTTTATTATCGTAGGCGCCTAATGATGTTTTTGAAATATCTCTAAAACAATAAAATACCTGGAAGGTGTCTCTATCGAACAAATGAATAAACTAAAGTGTTTCAAAAACAACCTCACAACTTCAAGAGGATAAATTTGATTGACTTGGATGTGTTTTTGGCATATTTTAAGGGAATTTTGAATCCTTTTAAAAGTTTGTTTAAAATATAATTCAATGTAATTATACAATTTTTTGAGTCATTTATAAATCATTTCAAAAATCAGTCTAAAAAGTTCTATAAAATAATCATGAAAGGATTAAATAAAATAATTATTACATCTGTTTTACACTTTAAAAGAGTTTTTATAAATTGATTTTTCAAAAATGCCCAGGTTGTCAACTGAAATTAGTGAAGAGGATGTTTTAATTATTTACTGAAAAAATGTCTCTTTAAGTTGAAAATGAAACGTCTTTAAAGGTGTTCGACAAAGATAATCTTTCAATATGGCTTTCATGGCCAAATAGACTGGACGAATTAGGAGTTGTCGTCATGAAATTGTTTACTTTCCTATCCCTGCGTTTAAGTCTCCAAGCTTTCCTCTGTATTCCCTGACTCATTAAAGCTGTTTGAACAGGAAAATTCCTCACCGTGGCATCATGGCCAACAAGACTGGGCAAATACGGAGTCATTGTCACGTCATAAAATGAAATGGTTTACTTTCCTACCCTTGCGTTTAAGTCTCCAAGCTTTCCTCTGTATTCTCTGACTCATTAAAGGTGTTTGAACAGGAATATTCTTCACCATGGCTATCATGGCCAACAAGACTGGATAAATACGGAGTCATTGTCACGTCATAAAATGAAATGGTTTACTTTTCTACCCCTGCGTTTAAGTCTCCAAGCTTTCCTCTGTATTACCTGACTCATTAAAGGTGTTTGAACAGGATAATTCTTCACCATGGCTATCATGGTCAACAAGACTGGACAAATACGGAGTCATTGTCACGTCATAAAATGAAATGGTTTACTTTTCTACCCCTGCGTTTAGTCTCCAGGCTCGCTCGGCTAGTTTCATGTTTACCTAGGTTTATCATGAGATAATGCATAACGCAGTGTTTCATTTTGTTTCAGGCTACTACAGAGATGTCTTATCACGGTGATGTGCTTCAGCTTTAGCTATTCTCTACAATATTCGCCGGTGGATGACATTTCGGATTGTGCCCTCGTGCTTGACCTCACTGCCAGATCATCCGTTTTCGATTATACGGCAAATATTTTACAGCAGCCTGGGTAAGTTACACTCCGTCTCAACAGATATGTACACCTTAGTTGATACATAAGTGTTAAAAAAATACTTCCTATCCGAAATATTTCACATGTCCTGCAAAAGTTAGAAGATGAAGTACGTTCCATCTGCATCAGTCATATATATCTACAGGATCCAATTATCAATACACGATCCGAAGACAAGCGCATCCGACCCATTCTGTTGTGATACGGGAGAACGTCGAATGAACCTTCAGACGTTGCCAAATTTCCTTTAACAAACCTCGATTTTTCTGGAGAACTAATCGACATTTTCTTCCAAATTTTCCGGAGAATTGTTTGTTTTGCAGTTTGATCCTATCTGAAGATTTACAAGAGAACTACTCATGGCATTCCTCAAAAGTTATCGTTTTATGGAAGGAAATTTGGCAACTATCGAATGTTCATACGGCGTTTTGCCTTAACACGGCAGCATTGTGCAAACGAATACGATCCTCCTCGCTCATCGCCGTAATGCTCACCCAAAAGATGAGGTTCCCTTTCATGTATATCGTCACGGGTGTAACAAGTGGAATGCAATGACGTCATGCCTTGCCACCCAGTTGCGTCGACCCTTTAACCGTATCCATCGTCTCTCTGTAACTTACTTTATCATTTTGCGTGGCTTCATTACATGTTACAGAGACTTGTAGCGTGTCATGTTCTGTCTCCTCACTCCGCGAGCCGCGTTTTGCTCCAGTTCGAGGGGTTCGGCGGGGGGGTGGGGGGCTAGGTGGGGGAGCCGGGAGGCGGCCGCGCACCGGGAGCCAATGTCGTGGAAAATCAGACGCCTGTCGACGGAGCGTCAACGCAAAGTCAATAACGAAACAAGTCAATCTAGGTGCATTGATAATCGGCCAGGCCAGACGCAGGACTCTAATTGAATGGCATAAGAATATCTAGACAGGAAACGCCACTGGAGCATGAATGTGTATCGGACATTGGTACCGGCTTCGGAGTCGGGCGACGACGGTGCCCGACTTTGCTGGTGAAAACGGAGTCGGTATATTCTAGAGCCCCGCACTGTTTTCCTTCCCTAGAATGTAGAAGATACTCATGGAAATCAACGCCTTTATTCGTCTTTGGATGATAGATGTTCAAAGATTTGAGTGATTTTTCTAGCAATCCTGGCCTAATTTGAAAAACTCGCCTGGCAAAATGCCCACTCCAATATTCATGAGTCATCATTTGGCGAAATTTTGACTCAACAAGTTGCCTATCGATCATTCGATGTTGATGCCTCGTCATCAGGCAAAAAGTAGTGTTGACCCTCGAATTTAGTTTTTGCCGCACGCGTTTACAATGCTCATATTTCATGAGTTTCGCGGTACTCTACAATACTTTATATGCTCTCTTAGCCCAACAAGGTATTCCAAAGTCTTCAGAATTGATGTTCTTGCAGTCGATTCGCCGTTAAACCCCCGAGATCTCTATTAATTCTGGAATCTAAAATTGTAGTTGAACAGTTTGAGACATACTGCATGGTGAATTGTACGGTTGATTGATCTCAGTGATCCTCGACGACTGTTTAGGGATTATTGGTTTTCCTTTGTATTTTTTTTTTTTTTTTTTTTTTTTTTTTTTTTTTTTTTTTTTAAAGTATATGTCAATTGACAATTGTCAATTTGATTTATCAATTTGAATTATTTTGATTTTGATTTTTAATAAAATTAATCAACTTAAAATTTATAATAAATCTATGTTTATAATGTTAGTGTTATTAATACTAACTTTCTACAGATGAAATTTGATAATATTTTACTTATATTTGAGATTTCTTGCTTACGTTACTTTAGTCGATCTACATCCTTAATTTTTGACTCCAACCCCAAGTAATTTCTATATGAGACCTGGCAACGCCGTATATCCGACCGTGCCTCCTGTTCGGGCCCACTCGAGCGATGCCTACCGGAGCCCTTGCGAATCGCGACCATTGCGTTTAATCCACCGCGATCGCGCTTTGAAAAGAAAATAGAAAAAAACCCGAGGAATAGCGTTTCGAGTTCAATAGCGCGGACTTTTTTCTGTTTATTGAATTTCGCGACCGGCTACGATTTAATCGGGGACAGGTGCGGGTGACCGAATTCCAAGACTCGCTCATTCTCGTCCAGCGTTGCTAGAACTTGACTGATCCGTACGGTTTCACGGGTGGACGTTGGACGGTTCTCCACAAAATGGCAACGCTGTTTGCAGAATCGCGTCGTTTTCCGCGGATGCATGGGTTTCCTCGAGGAGTTGCGTCGTGTCGCAGAACGGCATGCTTCTAGCGTTTTTGCGGTTTGGCGCGAAGTGGAGGCCAATCCCTCCTGACAGTGGCCAACGGATCTTGGAAACAATTCAAGGTCAAAATCAAAGCTGCTGGCAGGTAAAGTCTGGAATCGCATGAAATTTGCACCAATTCAATATCCTTTCTTTCTTCAACTTCAACCGTCATGAAGCTTTGGTAAAGAGTATTTCGACGGCGTAAGTCCGCAATCACATATCTCGTTTGCGGTGTCTGAAAATCTCCGCCTCTATGTTATTCTTTTAAAGGAGGACAAATCAACATCATCCCTTGAAGTTTCCGCAGAATTTACTTCGCACAGGCAGGGCCGGATTAAGGGGATGAGCACATGGGCCGCGGCCCATGGCGGCAAAATGTAGGGGGCGGCAAATTTTGCAATCTTTTTGATCTTGGGACAATTTTTTTACAGAATTCTTTTGCAGATACTGTCAAGAACTCAATGTTCAGGCCTTAGTCCCTACTTTTCCTTAATTGGATTGAAAATTACCAAGAGCGCGCGGGCCTGACTTCAGCTCCCTTGAGCTGGGGCTCCTAACTGCACCGGGCTCGATTCGGGGTCCCCCTATGCTGATGTTTACTGGGCAAACCGGGGTCCCATTTTCCGACCCCCCTCTTCCCCCATGTTTGAGCCCTCTCCTCCCCAAAATAATTTAACGGGGTTTTTAAGATGGTCCTAGACACCCAAGCATCTGACGTCATTTTTGTGGACAGGTCCTGATTTCCTGCCAGCGTTGATTCGCTCTCGAGTCTTCATATGTCTGTTCCGGATGAAATAACCGTAACTCCCTTAACATCCTCATTTCCAACGTGAACGTATTTACATCAAAAGGAACAATCTCCATTGTGGCTTGAACTCTGAGACCCATAAGAGTACATGCACGACGAAGCTCATGCCACAATGGTGATAGCTCCTTTTACTCCTAATACGATCACATGATCTTCAACTGACAAGAGTAACGAGACGGATGTCACGCCGATATGAGCAGCTTAATTTGCCGGATCAGGCAATTCGCTGATTGCCGGGTGCACAATTGTGAGCGTGCGGCGCATTACACCTTACACCACTCGGAAGAAAGCGGCCAATTAGGCCACTCTAGATTTAACATGCTGTTGACGTAGTTCAGTCTCGTTGGTCAAATCACTTAAGAAAAAAAAGCATAAAATTTCCCGATTGCTCATATTGCAATCAATGCAATAAGTATAATAAACCATAAGTGACACAGAACTTCAGTGTTACAGTGTGCCTGACTTTCGAAAATTTCATTCAAATACTTCATAATAAAACTTTTTTACTGGTTTTATCTAAAAAGGATCTAGTTTATGTATAACTAGGTAGAGGGATTTAAAAACGGTGCCATTCTAGTTGTAACACGCCGTTGACAAAGTTCACTCTGATTAGTCAGAGTACAACCGCAAACAGTTTTATTTGACACAAAGGGATAATTTAAATGTGATTTTCTGTTTCAGGGGATACCAGCCACCACCTACCTGCATCACATATGATGCAATAAATCAAGCCTATCTTGATGCCAGAAAACGAATAGGTAAGGATGGTAAAATAATGTTTATACCTTAGCAAATTCATAGATAATACAGTGTCTCATAAACACAATCTGAGTGGTTTGTTTACGATAAGCGCTGACACTCAGAGACTACATACTAGATATTAGACTATATCCTATATACCAGAGATTATATACTATTTTAGAGGCCCCCACTGCTATCTACACCACAGTGTAAAAGTAATATTCAGGGGTCAACGCTCAATATCGTTTAATAATGACACTGATGATCGGTCAGTCCAGCACTTGTTTTAGCAAACCTAGTCTAATTTTCAAAAATTCATCTGGCAAAGTGCTTACCCCAACGTTCATCAATTGGCGAAATTTGTGCTTTAAAAGTTGCTCACAAACTAGTGATCACTAACCAAAAAATGGCGTTGTCCTAACTTTTGCATCACCCAATTACATTGCTTGAACTGTTAAAGCGCGGATTCTAAAATATATTGGCTTTGGCAGAGAGAAAAAAAGAGAAATAATTCTTAAACTTTTTGAATGGAGCTTCACATTGTTAATGGGCGAAATTTTAAGGATTCAAACAGTTGAAACAATTCCGTTTCGTTACTTTATGGGATCGTATTATTCCAGCATCATCATCTCTGTGCATCTCAAAATCAATGCTTGCTGGTGCTGAGCGTTTGATCGAAAGCTATCATGCCGAGGAAAAAAACGCGTAACCACGGGGGTTTTTCACCAGAGTTACGTGGTTTTTCATTAGCTGGTTAAAAATCAAAAAAGGCTCCGAGTCTGAAGTGGATAACCTGTGTCTTTGCATGTGCGGCGCTACCGCCAGATAATGATCAATCCATGCACCAATCGATCGGCCCGTGCGTACAGATTTATGCGCCACCCACGGGCACGTCAGCTTTGCCGCATTGTCCAATCAATTTCATTTGAACGCTTTGAAAATAAGGCATTCTATCTCGGTGCGGCAACTCCACGCATGTGCTTTTGCATGGAAGTGCACTCGCCTTAGAGTCAAACCACACGATCAGACATTATCTATCAATATCATCGCGGATACATTTAGCGATGGTGCCGATAAGTTTGTAACCTCAAACTTCCATGGGGGATACATCGTACTGCACTGGAAAAAAAAAGCACATTGGATTTAGAGTCCAGACTCTTAAAAACATCGACAAGAAAAAATACTCTTGATTCAAGCAGATTTAAGCTTAAATCAAGAACCAAGCCTCTTAATTTGAGCAGATTTCCTTTTGATTTAAGCTTAAATCGGATTGAATCAAGAGTCCTTTTTCTTGTCAATATTTTCAAGAGTCTGGAATCTAGATCCAACGTATTTTTTTCCAGTGTGGTTTAAAATTATGAGCAAATATATATTTTTTTCGCCTGTAATGCTTATTTGCAAATCCACAATTTTAAAAAAAAAGTGTTTTCCTTATCTTCTCCTTTTTTTCCTTTTTTTTCTATAAAAAAATGAAAATTCCCTTCGTGCTTTTGAGCTTAGTAGGTGTTTTTTCTCCCGAAGATTTTAGATATGGCTTAAATATTAATAGACTGGGATCAGAGAATTGTTTTATATTCATTAATTTTCTCTTTTAGGGTCAATGATTTTTCAATAAAACTGTCATAAATTTAAATTAATCTGGGGCAAATACATTAGTTACGTTTTGCTGTTATGCAGCCGGTAGGACGTGATGGAACTAATTTTTATCCGTGGGCTACACTGAGAAAAAAACTAAAGTTAAAATTCGCAGATGATTGGGGTCTCGTTTGTAATATGTTTTAAAAGTAACCGTAATCGTTAATCGTGGTATTTTTATTTTTGAGTGATAAGTTTACTAGCCTGGTAATAAAATTACGAACGTATCATGTGTAATAAATCATATATCATAAACATATTACCATAAATGGCCACGACTACACCATTTGTTGAGAGTTCATCTGGAAGAACTTTGACACCAGATATTTTTACTCAAACGGCAACGGTGAAGTCTTATAGACGGCCTGGAGGGATCACTGTCACTGGGAATTGAATAAAATTTTTCGATTTCTGTATAACATCTAGCTGCTGCATTAATCTATGAGCCATGGTATGTATTTGGAAGTATGCATGCCAGGGACCAGCCTGGCAGAGAGAAGGTAGCTAAATCGCCGGTAAAGCGTATAAATATTCAACGTGTTTGCGGTTCGATTCTTTGCGGTGTACTCGTTTCACCTGGTGTGCTCCAGCAGCGATTATTTGAGCATCTAAACAGTTAATGGGCTCGAACAAACAGGTCTATCGGAAACTATGGCATAGCAACCCATAAGAGCTTGGCATAAATAACCCCAAGTAGCATTTTTCAACGGAAAAATCGCGATTTGTTGCAATTTTGTCGGCGATAAAATCGCTAAGATCATCAACATCTTAGCGATAATCCTTGACCTTGTTGCAATAAAATCGCGATTTTATCGCCCAACAATTTATCACGATATTATCGCAACAAAAATCGCGATAAATGGCGATTTAATCTCGATTTTATCGACGAAAATTGATCGCGATTTTATTGAACAAAAAATTGCGATGCATACAGCGATTTAATCGCCATAAATCGCAATTTCTTTATTCGATAATATTGTGATAAATTGTCACCGATATAATCGCGGTAATCAACCGATAAAATCGCTATTTATCACGATCACTGCTACTTGGGACTGTCAGTTTACGCACCCTTACGCGGTCAGTCGTGAGAATTGCATGAAGTTATTTTTTTTAATTACGCCTAAGTAATAATGCTGAGTAAATGAAAAAAACGAATATGCGTAAGAAGACTCCTGGCCATGTGTTGATTACTCTCCTTAAGTAAGTCTTTCATTTTATCAGGTTCGCCTTCAAAAACTGTGATGGCAAAATGAGTTGCTTTGGAGCACGAATAGTTGCGCGCAGTAGTTTTGGCACTTTCGCTCTGTCCTGGCAAGGAAGTAGGAACACATGTTACTATGCTAACTGCGTGTGACTCATTCTACAGAATATGCCTTCAAAAACTATGATGGCAAAATGAGTGGCTTTGGAGCACGAATATAGTTCCGCGCAGTGGCAGTAGTTTTGTCACTTTTGCTGTGTCTCGGCAAGGAATACACGTTACTTTCCTTGTTGCGTTAGGTTATGTTAGGTAAGGTTGGGTTTATGGTTAGGTCTCGTCCATAACATAAGTTATGCATGACAGCCATACTTGATTTTTTCTCTGAAAATAATTTTGAAAAAAGCCTGAAGTGAACAGTTCATACATACAGTTTTCGCCCACCAACGATGTACATATGACAACAGTGATTATCAGTAATCACCTCTTCTGCAGTGTCACGAAGCCACTTCAGTCTATTTTATTGGTGCATTAAACACCTATTACACTTCGCTAAATTGCAGCGGTCAGTACCTACCTCCCTACCAGTCCATGCGCTTTTTCGCAGCTGCGTGGCTTTCGGTTGAATTGACGCATGCTTGACGGAAGAAAATAGTCTTTGAAAAGCTTAACAAGCGGTATTACACTAAGGTGATTCGATGGACGCCATATTTTGTGTCAGAACGGCATGCGATATATCCCATCTATTGGTTCCGTTTTTTCAGCTACTCGTCATTTTTCTCGAATTTTGAGGTCGTAATTCTATTGTCAACAGACTGAAGAATTTTGACAAACAAATTCAACGTAATAAATGCATGGTTTGTTCAGAGGAAAAATATCGCATTCGAGTACAGTTTCGATATCAGTATCGAATGCGATCTTATTCATCGAAAACCATATAAAACCATGCCTTTATTAAGTTGAATTTGTTTGTCAAAATTGGTAAATGAATTATTTAGTCTCCTATCCGTGTCTCCTGTGTGTTAATAAAACAACGACAAGTAGCTGAGAAAACGGAACGAATCAATGCGACATATCGCATGTAGTTCTGACACAAAATGTAGCGTCCATCAAATCACATTAAGGATAGGGGGAGATTCACAGCGATAATGACCCACTCTGCACTAATTGCGCAGAAGAAAGTTTGTTCAAATGAACCATAGAACAATGCATCATGTCCCCATGCAAATCCTTAGTTCGTACCTACAAAAAATGCCGAAGGGAAAACATTTCACTTACTAAACTTTCTGAAATACATATATTATTTTCTGTAAAACGGCCAAATGTGGATGTCGACGGCTCAGGTAAAAAAATGTGTGATTCGTGATTGCAATATTACTTTGACAAGTTTTCCCGGGAAAAAAAGAAAGTATAGTAGAGTCTCGATTATCCGCGCCTCGATTATCCGCGATTCTGATTATCCGCGGTCTGTGGAGCGGACTTTTTTTACTTTTTCTATTTCTTTTGAAAGCGACCGGTACCGAACGGAAAAATTCTTCAAGAAATAAAGTTTAAGTTGTTTAATAGGTAACGTATATTGATCCTTGGTTAGTTATTATATCCTTTCCTTATGCATAGTAAGTGTCTTTACTGATTCCTTTAAAATACAGTCTCTCCGATGACTTCTTCCGGCCGTCTTGCGTAAATTCGGATTATCCGCGATTTTCGATTATCCGCGGTATCTCCGGTTCCAATTATCGCGAATAATCGAAACTCTACTATATAACAGGAAGTTGAAAACGAAGGCACGTAGTTTTGCACTTTGGCCATCGATACATCGACCAAGGTCATTCGACGAGGATTCAAAATCGAAAATGCGAAATTCGCAACGGTGGCGCTCATTTCGGGTCGCAATCAAGATCCTCGCGTCTACGCGCAGACAATACGGCACAAGAACAAGCCCTGCTCGGGCAGGATTGCACAAAGCGGCTTGTAAATAACAATCAGCGCCCGGTTTTTAATCGGAATGTTTCCGTATCGAAACTTGCTCAACGAAACACGCCTGCTAACAAGCGCCGCGCCGAGCCTTATCATCGAGCTCCAACTCCAAGCGGGGGCGAGAGCAATTAGTAAAAATTAAACTAGAGCCAAGAGCCGTGTTTGATTCGTGTTCCGTTTATCTGTCCAGGTTTCACCGAGCCCGTGGGGGAGTGGCGGCACCCCGACATCGCCACCGTCGGAGAAATACTCCTCGACATCACCGCCCAGCTCACCAGGACGTAAGTAAACTCCCTCCTCCTCTCCAAGTTCTTCGTTCCTTTCATATCCTGAAGTTGGACAGCAGGTATACATAGAGTGCCTCTGTAGACAGAGTATGACTCAGAGACAAAGAAAACCCCTTCATTGCTATATTGACAATAGTTTAGCAGAGCAATAGCATACCAGAGTTTTGAAAACTTGTATAGCTCATAGTATCACCCAAGACTCATCATCCACCTGGTACAGGTAATATCAAAGTAAGTGAAATGTAGGTATGTTCTACTCACTCATTTGGCTAGAGCTTGGCTTTCGGCTCCGGCCGGTAGAGTGGTGGCGCGAAATTTGAATTTCAACAACATTGCATAGTCTTGGCCAAAAACAAATAAGACAGTCTGCTGTTGATAGAATTGAGAAAAAACAGCCACAATACTTAAAGCTAATGAATTATCATTTTTAAATGAATTCGCTTGCATTGAATTTGTTCTTTTTTATTAACAGCTTATTTGCTTTCGGCTGAGACTGCAAAATTGTTGAAATTGAAACTTTGCGCCACAGCTCTAACGGCGGGAGCCGAAAGCCGAGTTCTTGCCGAAAAGGTCGGGAAGAGCATACCTACGTTTTACTTACCTTGAGGTAAGATGACCGATGATGTCTTATGATAAGCCATAAGGGAGTCTTGAATTCCCTAGAGTAAAAGTTTCCACTTGTCGTTAAGAGTTTAGAAAAGTCTCTCTTTGTCCCTGGTATGGCACTGGGAGGTCCGCTTCTGATTGGCTTTTCTATCTTATGCCTTAGGGGCTCTTAAAGGGAAAATGGCATACATTGCATGCAGATGATCTAAAAGAGACGTCAATTTTGTTTGATCTGACGCCAGCAGACTCAGGTTTTTGTTTTTTTTACCGGAAAGTGGACAAAAATATATTATTTTTCATACTTGTGAGTTGGATGTAAAAATTCTAATGGTCCCCTCCGTATCCCATATGAGATTTTGACAGGAATTCAAGCTGATGGTGATGGATTCTTACCCTGTCTGTCACTCCATTCCCTCCCAATTTTTGGGATTTTGTTTGGCGCCGCTATGAAGAAACTTTGCTCATCCGTTGAGCAACACGCTGATTTGGAACTCAGCGATGAAATTAAATGGTGGGAGGGAAATAGGTTTACTGACATGAATAGGCATTTCTTTTGGCGGGTCCGTCCTGGTTCGCATCGATTGTTCCCTGCGCTTCCTTTCGTTCTCGGTGGCTTCGTGGCTTGATCCATGTCCCCTGCCCATTGCTGCCAGATATCAATAAAAAATTTGCAATTTTCCCCATATGATTCCATGGAAAAATTTCACGTATTATCGCAGGACCTAGCAACCTTGCCCTTGCTCCATGATCAGATTTGATGGCTTACGTGTCCAAGTCCTGCCTCTCACAACAGCTTAATCAGACCTTGAAACGTTGCAAGATTGGAATTATTGAACGTTGAAAATATCAGTTCATCTCTTTTCAATCACTCATAATTCAACGCTTTCCTGAAAAAGGGACGTAACTTCATTTCAACGTTGCCAAATTGCCATCTGTTAATTGTGTTTTTTATCAGGAAACTATTTTAGGCATTATTGACTAAAATTTTCACCAATTTTCTCTTTACAATAATTACGCGCAAAAATCAGCAAAGTTTTGCACAGAAACTACAAAATTATAAACTCATGAGAAAATTGAATTGCTTGAGTCAAATTTGCAATTTTTGAATGTATTTACGCACCTAGTAGTTAGTCTGGGAAGTGACAAAATGATTTTTTGAAGTTAACTTCGTATGGATACAGCATATTTATCAGTGATTATTTGAAATAAACTTAAATAAAATATTAGCTTTTGGGCACATGGGATGCATGCGGACAGCTTATTTTTCATCGCCAAATATAAATTCAATATGAAACTGAGTTTAAGAGCCAAAATATTGTTATTTCTCCAGGGTTTCCTTCTTTGAATTAAAGGATAATGCAAGATTCTTAAATACTCTCTAACTCTCTTGTTTCATTTCATTTCTAGTGTGATAATCATCTTTTTTCAAATCGGCTAGCAATAAGTCTACTCTATATACATAGTAAATACAATTCAAAATTTGCAGATCGCGAACTGGCACTGTCAAACTCATCCCTTGTGCGAAAGCGTCGCTCCCGTTACAAAGCAAATTTTGACGTGACGGGTATTACAATAGCTACGCAGGTCATCGTGTATAGATTAAGAAGATAAAATGGACTTAAAAATAGTTGCCATTTACGGCAATATAATTCAAATTTTTTAGGGAGCTTGTGTACTGAAATAAGTCTATATTAAGAATGGTGTGGCAACATGAATAGAGACTTTCATTCTCCTATTTTTTCTCTTTTTTTTTTTGAATGAGGGTTTATTCATCATGCTAAGCAATCATTTGGGCTTGTCTTATAATCGTGTTTTGATGATGTGACCTGTTTGAATGCTGATATGGTGAATGCCAAAATCGAGTTTTTTTTTAAAAAAAAAACAAAAAAACACTGATTTTAATAAGACCTAGAGCCTAGACTGTTAAATAAATTTGAGTGAAATCCAAAGTGCATTTTAAACCAGACCCTATTTTTCCTTCTTAATACCCGAGTGTAGACATGAGTGCCAAACTAAATCTACTCTTTTTGTGGATATTTTTTGTGGAACTTTAAGAGCTTGAAAGTTATAGAGAATATTCTGCCAACAGAGGAGAAAAACCAAAAAAGTTTTCAAGAAATTGCGTTGGCTACTTTTCGAAAGAAATCTAAAATTATGAAAGGAAGTCTGCGATGTTGCAAACGGAGATGAGTCGTCTCTTTGACCATGTCGATATGTAATTCCTAAAGAAAAATACAATTATAGTGCCTTTTTGCAAAATGTAGTTCAATTGAGGATCATGCACTGCGTGTTTTTCGCCAAAGGCTACGACTTAATCTCAACATGTTTGCCTATGAATGTTCTCAGATACGGGCTGAGTCGGGACGACATAGAAAAAGGACTGCCTCAAATCGACACTTCGCGGACTCTCATCCAAGAGATCTGCCCCCCGATTTTCTCCACCGTCGAGTGTCGACCAGGGAAGTACAGGCGGTTGGACGGACTCTGCAACAACGTCAACAATCCTACTTGGGGCGCTACCAATGCTCCTTACACCAGGTTTGTACACTGACTGTAAGATCCCTTTAATCTGATTTCGTGGAAACAATAAACAATAATACGTGTATGGTATGGTAAAAGACAGGTGCCCGTGACGAAAGCTTTCTTTTGGACCGAAAAAAGAACGTGCTTGAAATAACTCTTCGTTTAACTGCTTTTGGATAAAGCTGAAAGAAAATTAACTTTGGACATCAAACTCTACTTTTATTATGCGATACAATCTCAAAATGGAACCCAATTTTTATATGATGATCATGAAAAAATGTTTTTTTTTCCCTTTTTTTTCTGCTGCTTTAATGGCTTTGTGTCTAGCACCGTCAGCCAACTTCAGACAATGTTTAGTGTCCGTAGATATCGTGGAATCTCCATGCTCCAGGCTTTTTAAATTTTCAGAGATTAGGGCCAAGCAGAATCTATTTCAGCAGATCTACTTGTCAATTCCGTGAAAATTAGACCCCACCACCGGGATTCGAACCCGAGACCTAATGACCTAGAGTCAGACGCATTGACCACTAGGCCAACCCATAGCCGGCGAAAAAATGGTTTGCCACGCAGGGAGCCTGTTATCGAGGGCTTTCAATTTTCTACCAAATAAAAAAAAAAAAAAAAAAAAAAAAAAAAAAAACTGTGTATGCAACTGCCCTTAATATTTTCCATTTCGGGGTTTCCTTGCAAAGTATTTCTATGGGGAACCATGTTGAATAGAACTAAACAACACCATTTTTTTACCATTTCAAGAGGAGAAAATCTTTTCTGATCAACTGTAAAATTTGTATTTCGCCTTAATCATTTACATTATTTAATGACAAATCAAATAAAATAAAACTGAAAACGAAATTGATCCTAAAGACCGAAAGAGGTATTTTTTTCTCTCGGGTCGAACCGTTTAAAACGCCCTTAAGAGATCTGTCTCGTTTACACGATTCAAAAGTGACGACCGGCACCGGTTGTAGAATCCCGCGACGGACTAACCACCCGCAACTCTTGGCGATACAATGCAAATTCGCAGGCCGTAAATGGCGAGTGAAATTTGCAAATTACATTCACTTTCAAATGTTATAACAAGTTGCACCCGTGTTGGCGAACGCGGAGCTGGCGCGAATTACGTGTGTCACCTTCGAAGCACAACACAAACACACAGACAGAAGTGCCTCCATTTAAGAGCCGTGCGCGGTGCATTCAGCATGTGAGTCGTGCCATTCAATCTAATCCGGCGTGAGAACACCGACACTAGTAGGCGGCGAGTTTCGCGACCCTAAATGGATGAGTATGTCCCGGTGGCTAATACATCTAGCTCAGGAGATTAACAAAGGTTAAGGTCTCAGCTCGTTGGAATGAGCCTCCTTTGACTAGTTGTCGGTTGTTTTCATCGGTTGCAGGGTAGCTTGGATGTGGGAGAGTGAGTGCAGTCGTACGGGAAAACCGTGGTGCACGAATAAAAGGATGGCTTACTTTCCTAAACTTGCGTTAAAGTCTCCTGACCGTGGATGGATATGCTGCGCGGCGTGGCGCTGCGTGACGTAGAAAGACAACTTCAGCCATATGGGAAAACTGCGGTGCACGGGAAAGAGGGTGTTTACTTTGCGTTAAAGTCTACTGGCACTGATTTCCAACCCCCTGTAAAAAGGAGCAACGCTCTAGGAGAAAAATCTATGGCATAATCCAATTAGTGGCTCATATGGAACACCACTAATAATTGTGGTAAATGAGTTAATGATCCTCGATCGGTCTGTGAACCATACTAAGGTATCTCGTATCATCACTCAGATATATGTGCTATTATTATATGTTGCCTTTACTACTATTAGCGGTGTTCCATACGAACCACCAATTGCTTCATATGCCATAGTTATTTCTCAGTGAGGCTTATATACCTCCTCTCCCCTAGAATGTTACGTAACTTATGAACGCTCCCCTACGAAAATTCAAACCACGGACTTTGAGCTGGGCACTGGGCCAACTTGGCCTTCACCACTGTGTCGTTTCACCTGGAAAAAAATTAAAGCTTCTAGAGAATAAACTGATCTTCTGATCTCTTTATTTATTTTTCCTGTCTCTTCCTCCTCCTCTCCATCCCGTACTACGGTCTCCTCTTACCTTCGAGCTGAAGAGTGAAGGGTCACGTGCGTGATACTAAAAACGTGTGAGTGAACGCTTGATCTGGAGCATCCAAAATAAACGTTCAGTCAATTAGAGCAATTCAAGATGTCATTGAAAACGTTTTCCTTTCTATGCTGTACTAGCGTAAGTTTTTTAAAGCCATTATCGGAAAAAGCGTTGATAAAAGCAGACGTGTGTGAGAAGAGTTTCATAGATCGTGACGGTGAGAGTGATTGGCGCGGTTCTCGAAGTAAGACACATACTTCAATGAAAACATTGTATCTCTTCAGAGAATGTTTTCTTTTTGCCACTATGCCAACTGTTCCTCATTGCGCTCGTACTATACTCTCCACGACGCTACCGTAGTAAACCAATTTAATAGCTACGACACCTGTTGCACATTCCTGCTTGCTTGTTTCAATGTTAATCAGGCACATAACTTTATCGTATTCATGTCAGGTTGGTGGAATACGTCTGAGTGTTTATTGCAATCGAAATTCCACGTGTTTTTGCATCATTGATGATATTTGATTTATTTATTGCAAAATCCTAATGAATTAATAAATTTAATTTCACTTAAAGTTTAGATTTGAGATCATATTCTATCATTGTGATTTGAACTAGCAAACATCAATATTTCACATATTGTAAGAATGGTGGAGTCACTAACAATAAATCAGACTGTCTCGATTCAGATTTCTCACGATCAGTGCGAGAAACACATTTTTTGGAGAATCACGTTCCATGCATTGAACTACCAATACATCAAGAGGCAATATATTATGGAAACAATATAGACTATCTTTCTTAAGATTTTTTTTTTTTTCATGACACTCCTCTTTGTTGAATGGTGAAGCACGGTTTTCAAGATCAAAATAGGCCATCATGAGTGCTATCCTCTTGATTTTGATCGGCAATACTCAAAAATTGCACCAATGACCCATCTTGATCGAGGAGACCAAGCTAAACTGATGATCAAATCATTTCAGCGATCTATTCTTTAAGCAAAACATAGTCTGACAAACTTGAGAAGCATAAAACAACTCAAACCAACATTCATCAATCATGACTGGGTCAATAAAATGCCCAATAAGTCTGCTACCAAGCAATAATAATTACCAATCATCTTGACTTTTGCCTTCCATGATTATTTTGCTCTAATTAAAAGTGTGGAGTCGCTACATTACATTGTCTCTGGATACGCACATCATTTTAAATTATGTGCTCATTTTACTTTGCATTCTTTCTCGACAGTTTGATGTACGCCTATACTTTATTTTTCAGGTTAATATACCCAGCGTTTGCAGACGGGATATCTGACCCACGGGTATCTATCTCGGGCAACCCTCTGCCTTCTGCCAGGGTTGTCTCGCGGACCATCCACCCTGATGAAGGATTCCACGACCACGCTGGCACGGTCATGGTTGTGGCCTGGGGTCAATTCATGGACCACGACTTCACCTTGTTTGGAATGCCTCTAGGTAAGAAATTCTAATAATCTCGTTCCTTAGAGTGGTCATGAGTATAAGTCCTCGGTATTAGAATAAACCGATTACGATAAATTTGAATTTCCCGCTAACAAGAAAAAAACAGAGTCAATGTAAACCTTTCATAGAGAATTCGCACGAACATTTTTGCTTCATCTAAGAGTGCTTCAAGAGCTAATTTCCCAGCACTTTTCATGATTTTCTTCTGATTTGGGAATAGTATGCGAATAGACTATTAAAAATGAGAAAATGCACCGCTTGATGACGTCATCTGGCGGCATTTTCCATTTAATACAAGTATTTTAGCAGATTTATCTCATCATTTTGTCATATCCACACCAATAATTGCTCAATTTATTAACCAAGGGTATCCTCACGTGCAGTTCACTCCGTGGTTTCCACTTCAGCACGAAATTGATCAAATTCAGACACTTGCAAATTGTCCATTGCGCACTATAGCGGTTCCGGTAGGCTTTATAATCCAGCAGTGTCCCTTCCCTGCCCTGTATCGTTCAAATGTCAGCAACATGCAACAGCAGAATCGAAGCGTCGAGATTAAGGCTGTCTATTCAACTCAAGTGGCTTATGATTTTCATATTAGCGGGAAGTTTGAATTCATGCATCGATAAACATTTATCTTTTAGTTAAGAGTCTCTTCTAATAAATTTTGCTGCACAGTTCTTGCTTCACGTAAAATTTTGACGAGAAAACCGCGGGTCTATTACGCTGTTTTGCCAATAGAGCGACGAAAGAATGAGGAGTGCCGGGACGCTATGAGCTGTGCGTTATGTCACCGGCCGCGGCCTCTCGACTACGGTCTCGTCCTCCTCGACGGCATACCGAAACCAAAACCACCTAAGTACAGGGAAAATCCATAGAAAATACACTGTATTTGCTGCCCTGCGCGCCGCTGCTGCCGGAACGGAGGTGTTACAGCCGCAGCATGATTCTGGTTCGCGCTCGAATTTCGCTTTCACGCATCACGTCGGCACCACGCCGCGCTGTGAAATCGCACCGGAAAAATCAGTGGAATTTTGACGCGGAATCACGCCGGTTTTCAACAGACCCTATTTTTTGGGTTTTAAACTTGCCACTCTGAGAGTCACACATGGTAAAAGGGATGTAATTATGATACATGATATCGCGTGAAAATGAATCAATCAAATAGAACTGTATGCATAGGATTTGCGTGATACATTGATAGTGCCTTTTCACGTAATTTATTGGCACATAGTTCCGTTGAATATAAACACGTCCAATTAGACTAAAGACAAAGAGTTTTAAGACATTTTTTTGTAAAAGGACTTCTTCGGAGAAAGAAAGAGTCGTTGCCCTTAGAGTGCATTTAACGGATTCTAGATCTCTCCATCTATTTTTCTAGTTTTTAATACAATGTCATTTTCGTGGTAACGAAGCGTTTGGTCCAAATAATACAATCGCAGTCCGAATAACACTATTTGTATTGTTCGTACTAAAAGTCATATCGGGACAAAAAGCATTATTACTACAAAAATATAGCATTGTAACTGAAACTAAGAAAGCAGGTTGGACTTGTAATCTACAATGATCATTGTAGGAGCAAGGATTCTTTTTCTATCGTTAAGAGCAATTCTTTCCTAAAAAACAGAAATGGAAAGAAAATGGGACTGGCCTTCAAAAAAATTAATTTCAGTTTTAGGTACCCATTCAGGTAAAACATTTAGTTTATAAATTTTACACACCGTATCGAAAATTATTTTCACGAAATGCTATAACTTCATCAATTTCTGAGTCGCTAAAATATGAACTACGAAAGTATATCGATCGGCGTTTTTTATTTGAAAAATGACATTCTTTAAAAAAAAAAAAAATTAATTAGACGAGTCGATGAGTACAGAAAGACAAAACTAGATTTTTCAAATTGTATCCCACATATTCGGGCTTGGAGATAATTCGTACTCCTTACTAATACCTACTTTTAAACATCTCCGATTTAATTTTTCTCTCATGTTCTCTCTCATCCCTCCTCTCACTCGTTTTTTTCTTTGTTTTCTTGTGGATATTTATTTTTGATATTTTCGATGATGCAGCACTCAACCTGATTCATACATTTCATTTGATAATTTTTATGTAAAATGTTGCAACACTGCGTATGCTTGGAGTGCATCGGTCCCGCGCAACGGGCAACGGTTCCCGAGTGTCCCGCAGTGAACCCGTTTTGTTCTCGTTTATGGAGCCACGAACTGGTCACCAAAATTTTGGCCACCGGAAGTTGGCCGCGATTTCATAGTGCGAACCTATGTAAAATACCATCACTGGACCCCACCACCAGTTTGAGAGAAAAAAAAGAACCGCAGAATAGCCGCGCAAAATATTGTCTCATTTTCCATGCCGCAAGAGTCATAGATCAGATTCGCGAACACAGAAGTTACCAAGCGTAGTTGCCAATTTTCCAATCATATCAAATTTTTGAAGTGATCTTGAGTTAAGTGATCAGGGTAGAAATTATTTAAATTAAACAATGATTTTACAATTTAAATGTGTTCATTCAAAAGCTCTTCCATTTAGTCCGGCTCGCAAAAAGTCTCTCCCAAGATTATTTTTGCCCTCTTTCTGCAACCCTTGATATTTCATTTGAATGTAGCTAAAAAGGAACTTTAGGATGAGAGAAGTCTCCTGTAGAGGTTTTGCTCAGATTATATTTAAGCTACTTTTGGTGCGTGGAGAGAAGTCTCCTGTAGAGGTTTTGCTCATATTATGTTTAAGCTACTTTTGGTGCGTAGCATAGTGAATATTAGAATTATGTTCATATTTTTTAAAGTTGTAAAGTTTGCAAACTTATTTCTTGAGTAAAAAATCCCTCGAATCAAAAACATTCAAAAAATCCTTTTTTTGTTTTCTGAACCATTATATTCATTGATGGACTAAGATCCGTTGACACATTATTTTTGTCTAAATTGTCAACGATGCCTGTTTTTAGATCCACGAAATAAAAACGAACCAGAGGAGTGTTGCAACCGGCCACCACAACTAAAGCACCCGTACTGCTTAGAGATCGAGGTCCCGGAGGATGACTATTTCTACCAAAAATACAAAGTCAAATGTCAAGATTTCATCCGATCCTTCCCGTCACCCAAGCCCGGCTGCAAGCTCGGTGAGTATGTCAAATATTAAAACTTTTGAGAAAATATGGTAATGTCCTTCCTTGATCTGAGCTAAAAACTCGTAAGGAAAAGTTTTACAAGTTTTCCTAAAAATTCATATTTTATTAGGGAGAATTCAGCAACGTCTGAAAGTTCATAAGGCGTTCTTCCTTAGCGAAGCAGCTTTGTCGCTCGTTCTAATTTCTCCACAATCGAACGTTTAGACTCCCACGTCCACCGGAGGCACATTGTCCGAAAATTCGTGCCTTGCGACAGAGACGTCATTGTCAACTCGTTGCTCGCTCAGTCGAGGAGCGTCCTCAATCTGCCGTGAAATGAAATTATGCGAACGTTTAAGGAGGACCTGCTGGAGCTCTCACTAAAACGATTTGATGTAAAAATATCTATCAATTAATGCTTTTAAATTTAAGACGGATTTAGTAAGGCATAACTATCGAGGGGTCCAGAAGGTATAGACCCCCTCGGGACGGGGATAATATTTCCAAGGAATTTATTTTATTTTTAGGAATATTTTACTTTTGGATATCTTCCCTCCCCCCTTTAGAGATTTTGACCGTAGACGCTCTCTCGACTCCCATAAAAAATGTTTGGCTACACCACTCAACGTATTTTCAAATATTCCGGAGAACCACAACGTGAATTGTACATCAGGTTTTTGTAAAACAGTTGAATCACTCGTGACACTTGTCTTTGAAATTTGGTTATATGCCTTTTGGCACTTAAAAATTCGCCTAATTGGACTATTTGCTTGCAGCATGTTTACAATTTGATCCATGACATATTTTAGGAATAACTGGAGAATTGCGTTCCGATCGAATAAATACCGCAATTGAGAAGTGCGTTATTTAAAAACATGTCTGGATTAAATTTTGCATTTGAATAATCGATTCTCAAATTAGTGCACGAGCAGTACTCTGTATGAAAAGTGAAGCACTTGCAAAGTTTTCAGCGGAAAAAATGCGCTTCTAATCATTTTAATTCGCTGACTCCGCGCTTTCTGTAAACTCTGTCGGGCGCGGTATAGGCAATTTGCACATCGCATGCAAAACGGTGTAGTAATTGAAGTATTTCTACGATGTTGAAGGCGCTATATATGGTGCGCGCGGGCGCGCCTTTCACTGCCCGCGCGCGGCATTCGAATTCGCGGTGCGGTGTCAGGGAATGAAAAGTAAAAGAAGTGTATTGTTTTTGCTGATACTTTGACTTTGATACAAAGGACAGCTTGCACAAAATTACTGCAGCTGCCTAAATGTTTTGTTAATATCACCTAGAATGCGCTTATTATTTTCTAAAATTTCTTCAACGCGCTGATTCTCAAAAGTTTCTGAAAAGTCTAAAAATCTAGAAGTTATAGGGTCATCATTCTTCATTTCGATTCAATTGAACAGTTGACTGTTAATTATATCGTTTTGGAAACGTAATCTAGATCTAGTTCAAACGATGCTCATGGAATTGTTTGGAGACTTAAACGACTGGATAAGAAAGTAGATCCTGGTTCATCGTCGCGTTGGTGTGCTGGGAGTTTCAAAATGCATTTTCTTATTCTTTCTCATTCATAAAATAAATAAAATCAAGAGGAGAGGAGGTCTCGCATGACGCGAAAATTCAGCGTTGTTCTAATTCGCTCCAAGAAGTTCAAAAATGGAAGTGTAGAAGTTCTCCAGCTCCATCTTTTCTTCTAAAAAAGGACTCATTTTCGCATGATGTTCACACGACTTTTTCTTTACATTGCATTACGGTACAAAACTAGTGGAAAACTTTATTTGTATTTAATCTGTAATGCGACCTGTGAAAAGGGATCTCATCTCCCGGGCGCAAATCTTCCAGAAGAGCCGACTTTAAAGGAAAAGGTCAATTGGGATATTTTGAGCTCTGAACAAAAAACGTTCCCTAGGAGCCTTGAAAACAAGCTACGTGTAGTTTTAGTTTAATTTTGTCACCACAATGTTTATCTGCTCCTTTTCCGTGTAAATGTCAGAATTCTCAACCTATAGGTATAGTATAAAAATGTCCTAAATCTTTAACCTAAAAATTTAAACGAAAACTTGAGAATTTTGTCTTGAAACATCGAACAGTCACATTTCTTTAAATTTTGAGCTTTCAAGGTCAAACCTGCTTCAAAATGTCCCGATTTCCATTCTTCTGGGCAGTGATGCCGACAGTTCAATTTTAATTTTTTGAAGGATAAGGTCCCTTCCCAAAAAGACCACATTTTGAAATTAGGAACTACAATTTCTGTCTCTTTTTAGAGATAGCGTACGCACCATTCATCACTCTATGCACGTATATTTTTACCAATGAGCCAGAAATTGTATTTTTGAATTTCAAAGTGTAGTCCATTAGTCACATCCTGATTTTTGAAAGGGTGGGGGGGGGAGGTGGCTGAGTAATACCTTCTCTGACAGTGAACTTCTTGTGCTACCATCATCTAGTCCATGATCCGAGCCTCCATTGGCTGTCAGGAGAATTCTATTGTTCTCATTCATAAGAATGAGGATGCGAGTGCCGCATCTAGATCTAGAGTGAAATTATAAAAGAGCCCCCACGGATTATTGCATCGATGGATCGGGAGTGCATCTCCGACGAGCTGCCGACCTTGAGCGCGCATGCGTGCACCCGGTTTGCCCGGGTCGGCCGTAACAATTACGCACGCCGCGTCTGAGACGGCGGTCGGTGCGCCGGGCCGGGGCACCGTGACCCGGTTCCCGATTAAATCGTCCCTCGACCGAGAGCGCCAGCCGGTAATCGAACGCTTTAATCAACGCGCCTGGACCCGCGCCAATCGGCAGTCGGCAATTCTTCCTCTCTCGCCGAAGACGCGATGCAGCGCGTGCCGCCGCGCCGCCGGCCGGAACACGCCCCCCTCCTCCCCTCGTCCGTCCGTCATCGTCGGAACTTGGACCACGAGGTCGCCAATGTCACTCTCTCACTGGGAGCGTATGTTTGCTCTAGATCCGATCAAGTAGACCGCCAAGATAGCGTTAGGCAAATTTTTCCGATCAAATGTGATAGACATACTAATTTGAAGTGTAAGATCCGAAATACACGGAGAAAAAAACTTCGTGCGTGGGACCCGAAGTTTAGGTCGTATGGATCTCTGAAGTTTTCGGATTGAGCATCCGAAAACTTAAGGTCCAGCTGCTGAGGTTCGGATCACACATATGAAACTTCAGTTCTTACATCTGAAGTACTTCAGATGTGAGAACCGAAGTTTTTCGGATGTGAAAATCGAAGTACTTCAGACGTAAGAACTGAAGTTTCGGATGTGTGATCCAAACCTCAGCAGTTGGACCTTAAGTGTTCAGATGCTCAATCTGAAAACTTCAGAGATCCATATGACCTAAACTTCGGGTCCCACACACGAGGTTTTTTTCTCCGTGTAAAGTTCTCGAGCTGAATGGACTGAAAATTCATATATACTATTAGCATAGGTCAGTGGTATACCCTAGAGGGGGCTGCACAGGGGTTCTAGACTACTCATGACCGGAAAATGTTCCCAAAAACCGTTTGACTGTTTGAAGAGTTTCGGTGTGCTGTCCAAAGTTTTATTGATTTTGAAGAAAAACAGATGAAATTTTCAGTTTATCGGGCGAAAATTTTGCAACTTTAAAATTCAGTTTGCTCTTTTGTCCAAAAGACGACCGTATTTGATACATAGAGGAATTAAATTGTAACCAGAGTGTATAGGCCCCCTGAAAACTTCACAGTCTAACCGTCTGGAGCGCCTCATGCCTCAGGCGTTATGCGTTACGCGTTACCTTCATGATTTTACATTATGAAGTAAGAGGTGAAAATTAGCCTAGTCTTCCCTTCACGGAGGAAAAAACTTCGTACATGAGACCCGAAGTTGATGTCGTATGGATCTCTGAGGTTTTGGGATCACGCATCCGAAAACTGGAGGTCCAGCGGCCGAAGTTCGGGTCCGACATCTGAAGTACCTCGGTATATACTGAAGGGTTCAAGTCACACATCTGAAGCACTCCGGTACATACCGAAGTACTTCGATGTCTGACCCGAAATTCGGCAGCTGGGCCTCCAGTTTTCGGATGCGTGATCCGAAAACTTCAGAGATCCATATGACCTCAACTTCGGGTCCCATGCACGAAGTTTTTTTTCTCCGTGTTAAAGTTGACCTGACGATACATTCGGGGATTTTCTTCTCATATGATATTCAACCAAGCCCACTGTGCCACAGGCAGGTTGGTCGAGGAGGACTACTGTCTACCAATGTTTAGTTTAATCCGGGTAATAAGGAGCGAACGCTCAGAGTTTATCGACGTAAGAAACGTCCGAATGCTATTGAATAACGCGCTTGCGACGGTCCGAACAGCTTCCGATGAAGGAGAGAGACCGTTAAAGACTCCAAATTGATTTCCTCCGAGTCCGTTCCTCTCGTAGCTAATCTGTGTATCTTCCTCTTGTGTCTTTGCCCTTTTCTGCTCGTACCACGGTCATGTCCTTGCTCCTCTGACGTCAGAGCGTAACTCTATTTTCACGTGAGCCCTGCAGTCCATGTAACTTCATGCTTTCCGAAGCCCACGAGAAAAATGGAGGTACGTCCGTACCCAGCAGGAGCGACGATGTTTGTCAGCTGGCAGAGTTCATTGATTAACTGCGATTAGTCGATTCATCAAGTGATTGGTCTTAACATTGCCGCCTCTCGAGCAAAAAACTGATCCTCCGAGTTTGTTGCGCTGATTCAATTCGAGAATGGACAACTACACAGGATAAGAGCTGAAGCGCAACGATACATATTTACGCATGAAAATTGCGTGCAAAGCATGGTAGTTAAGGTGTTTCTTATTTTTTAAATTTTCGAATTCGAATAGGAGGTCCTGGTCTTAAATGTTGATGTGTGGATAGATTAGAAGCCTTGTGCAAGGAAAAAACAAGCTGCTGGTTCCAACACTACTGTGTTGGAGAGCTCGCCTTTGGAAAACTATTAACAACTATTAATGATTTTTTCTGAAATTGTATATGTATTAAATGAATCTTTACCCAATTATCAGAGGTTACATGCCGATGCAAAATGTTATGACGTAATTTCATATGACAAATTTTTCACATTACAATAAATAAACAGAAATAAAGAGAGAGAAATGGAATTATCTTTTATGAATGTGATTTTGCGGCAAATGTTGCAATGGCTATTTTTGCCATCGCATTTTTGTTTCTGGCTTTCATCGTTGATAAGCTTTTTCTTAACTTGTCAACAATGTAATGAAATCATATGATTTAATTTTAATTTTTTTTTTTAAATCAAGTCGCCAACTTGAATTAAGGTTATACTTTGTTAAGCTGGCAGTCTGGAATTCTGAATTTTTATCGGCACAGAGTTCAAAGAAACTATAATTTAGCACGGTTTGGAGGAACGTTTCTGCCATAATTCTTACACAATACTTATGGTATACACTAAGAGCTGAAAAGGAATTCACTTGAATTTTAGCGTGGAGCTCGAGAGACCACTTCAAGCCTTTGTATGCGAGTGGCTCAATGGAGCACATCACGCCTTTGTAGGTATGGGGTGGCTCAATGGAGCACCTCGCGCACTATAAATAGCACGGAGCTCGAAAGAGCACTTCATGCATCTGTATTTTAAGGTTAAAACGAACTCTAAAGAAACTCAATGCGAGGCTCACGAATTCTCAAGCATTCTAAATGCGAGGCTCAAACGAATTCCCAAGCATTCTTGATGCGAGGGGCTCAAACGAATCCTAAAGCATTCTTAATATGAGGTTTAAACAAACTCTGAAAGGATCCCAATGCGAGTCTCAACCGAGCTCTCAAGCATGCAATTATTTTGAGGTTAATTAACCTTCTATGGTACCAAATCTCAATCTTAGTCTTAGTAACTTAAAATTAATTGAACAAATTATTAAATCACGTCGAGGTCACCATGTTTTTTATTTTAAGAAATAATAACAATTGCAAGTACAACTGCACACAAAAACTGCATTGAAAACATAAGAGGATGATAACATACAATTAGGTTACTTATTTGATATAAAACCATAGCAACATGCTATGATATGCTCGGCCACTGGAAAGTGCTGCTCTCTAGTGTAGCAAACGAGGAACAATTAATCCTCAGTTGAATGAGGGAACGGAAATGTTCGACGGAGGAAAACTGTAACCCGCGAAAATTCAACTTTTAGACCTTGAAATCAATGGGATTTTGGCCGTTCCTCCGACGGCAACGAGAACCATCCATTCGTCGCCACGGACACTACCAATGCTAAAAGAAATCGATCGCAAAGAGCTCTCCCGAGTGGGCGAGCTCAAAATTAAAACGATATTTACCCGGTGCTTAAACGACTTAAGTGACACAGGTTGAAATTTGAGGTTTTTAGACAAAATAACACTGTTTTCCCATGGAAAACGCCGAGTTACGTTCCTAAAGGAAGAGAAGATTTAATGCATACCTTGCATAGAGGTCCATCACTGAAAAACTAATATTCAATGAAGCTTTTTCATGCATTCTTGAAAAATGAACTACTTTCCGATCCAAGCTATGGAATTATTTGCGTATTGCAAGTGCGACTGGCATTGTCGCAACTGAAACAAACTCGATTATTTCAACCAAAAATTCTGGCTTAAACAAAGAATCAGTTCTTGAGAATTATTAACTCGCTCAAACACCGGACGTTTCTCTGATTTCATGATATTTACATGTATTGCGTATCCGTATGTCAAACGAACATGGGTTTTCCGGAAATGATTCATGCAGGAATGTGCATAAAATAGAGAAAATAATTCGGCAATCCTGACTGTGTTTCGATTCACGGCGTGACGATATTATCCGTGTTGGTATCAAATCCCATTCTCTATTTTCTCCTCAACGCATGTTTTTGACGCGCAAGTATTTCATGGTTTAATGACAAGATGCCCAAAACTGAATACCATTTGGAACACCTCGGCTTAGGACATTGTGTCTGGTCAGTTGTCACTCACGTTTTAATTCAATCCTCGGATGGATGAAAATATTGAATGCGGATTGTGATTTGCGTCAAAAATCGTGTTCGGAGCGTTTTCCCAATCTTTTAGACACGTTAACTCTCATGGTATCATAGGGCTGTCACTGTCACCTAGCTGCTTGTCGGAAATCTTGGAGATTACTTTACATACCGGAATCATGTCGTTTTCAATTAGGAAACGCGCTTCTGTGGGCATGATGCAAACTCATAGAATATTTGTGACTTGGAAAAAAAAAACATTGAGTATTATTCTTTCTCACTTATTACACAAGACATCAACTTCTCGGAGTTTCACTACGCTCCTTTTTAGCGCTGGGTTCTAGATATATATCCGCTAACTGTTCCACCACAACTGTATTTTCCTGTAAATTGAAATTTTCCCGTAAAAATAAATTTCCATGGAAATAATGTTTCAGAAAAATAATGTGCGTCAGGAAAATCAAGGTTACTTTTGGACCTATAGCAGCAAAAACACACGAGAATTCTCCTGCGCGTGCTTAGAAATTGTTTTGGCTTTTTTTTTTTACAATGCAGATTACGACCCGTTTTCAAGTTGTTCATTCAATCACAATCACGTAAAATAAACCCATATGATAGTACCGTCTCTAGATGAAAGGGGAATAACATTTTGACAGGTACCGCAAGATATGCATCGCATGCATTTTTTATGACGAAATCCAAAAATGTCATTGCAATTTTATTCTACACCACTTTACAGGAAATTCCTCATGCAATGGAGTTATACATATTTCATTCTTTCAAACTAACCAATAAAAAGCTTAAATTGATCAATCAAAGTGATAATATGATATCGCTAAGAATGTGTAATAATGCAGTATTGCGTGTGTTTCTGTTTTTTGGAACGGCGTAAAATGACTTCTTTGGGGATAATTCCCTGGCCATGAGGGGGTAGGGGTGAATTGAGACCCCCTTTCCATCCCTCTATCCCCATTCAGCCCGTCTCAAAAACTAAAAAAATACGTTCCCTCGTGTCGTAAAACGCAAATGCTTCGATTTGAGGCCTCGACGGAATCTTGTGCAAATGCCAATGCATTGCTCTTAAGAGCTTTGATGCCCACTTCAGTTGTCACTGCAATCCGTCCTATGATTAATGGCACTTACGAAACTGGCGCTAATTGCAACAAGACCAGGGGTCACAGTTCAGTCCTACCCAACGCAGATGCATACCGACTAATGTGATATTAATCGCTGCATGATACTGAAAAATGCGCGGAACTAGATTTTTTCAACTGCAACTTTCTATGTATTCGCACGTGCAAATTTGCTGTCCTTCAGTGGACCACTTTTCTCGGGAAAGAATCAAATGGCATCAACTGTTGCCACATTTTTTTACAAAAAACTTTTTGTTTCGATTTGTCGTTTAAAATTTCAAATAAATATCTCTGTGGCTTAAAGCGGATTCCCTAAAATTTTCAAGAGACTTTGTATATACAACAGTCCTCTTGTAACCAAATAAGTTTTTCAATAGAATTTGGCAATATCTGATGTCAACTGCTTCCGTTTTGAGAAATATTTCTCATGAATGTCTTTGCAATTGCAACTTTCCTATAGTTTTGTAACACTAACTTTTTATATTCTGATGTATCTTTTTTCTAGTGTGTGCTAAACTGATACATTCTTATGTTCGTACATGATATTGTTAAGGGCCGTCATGGGTTGTGTATTTGTGCTATTGGATAGTTTAACGATTATATCTATGACTTATTCAACTTAAAAAAAAAGTAATTCAAGATTTTCGCTAAATCTAAAATCATTTATTTTTATGATGTTATACACCTACAAAAGAACATACATTCATCACAATGTTTTTGTCATGTTTTCTGTTTTAGGCTCTCGAGTGCCATTCAATACTTTGACAGGAGTTATCGATGGAAATACAGTTTATGGTGTTACCGAAGAATTTGGCAGGTCAGTGTTTTTTATGAAAAAAATCTGTCAATGCAATTATACTAATAAAATAAAATATTATTTTAGATCTGCAAATATATTCTTAAGTAAGTAGTCACTTTAAAGTATTGTACTACTGCGTAAATTAGGAGAAAACGCCTTAATAATTTGGTAATGTATATACTAGAAAAGAAAACAAAACAGCATAAATATACAAAAATATCATATGTATATCAGTGGCGAGGCGTGAATGAACGATTTTCGATATTTCCCCGTTTGAATCAATGGTAAAGAATCGATTATTAAGATGTTCGTTGCGAACACCCTGCATATCGATCCTTTTTCATAGGTTTAAATGGCAAATTAATCGATACATCGCAAACACGCCAAGCCACTGATGTATATATTACACATAAGATAATATTACATCATTTTCATTGTTTTATAATATCGATATGTACTAATTTTCTGTGGCAAGGATATAATAACGACTATTACAATTCATTACAGGCATCTTCGAATGGGAGTTGGAGGGCTGTTGCGAATGAATCCTGCGTTTGACGAATTTGGACTCAAAGATCTTCTTCCGCCAAAGATTGATTATCCTGACGAGGGCTGCACCCGACTGAATAGTACACAATTTTGCTTCGAAGCCGGTAAATGTTTAATTATATATTTAATGGATCAATCTACCGACGGGGTCGGGACATTTTTACGCGGTCCAAGCAGGTAGTGCCAGCATGCGCAAGGGTATTTCTAGACCATGTGGAGTAAATTTTTTTAATTTTTTGAAGGTTCCGTCAATGGTCAAATAAGGCCCCTCTCTAAAACCGCTTCGACTTCAAATCTTTTTCGGGTCATCAGAAGAAATGGAGATTCATATGCGCAAACAGAGCGCTCAATGTTTTACGTTGAGGTAATTTCAAGATGACTCTCGTAAAACTCTGACCTCATTTTGTTTTTCTTCAAGAAGTTCAAATCAAGAACTTTAATCCGATTTTACCTTCAGTAGAAATATGTACGGCTCTACAGAAACTTAATTTGCTCCTCCGTTTGTCTATCGAATACCCTCCCTTATTCCCCCTACTTCAGAATGCCAGAAACTCCGTTCCGGACTTCTGTGAAGAAGATACACTGCTAATGGAAAGATTATATGTTTTTCATTTTAAATGAGACCTGCAAAAGTAGAGGAGAAGGAAAACATTTTAAACTCAGGCTTGAGGTGAAATATGGAAAAGGAATCCCAATTAAAAGAGCTTAAAATATTAAACGTGAATCTGAGTTAAATTTCTTATAGCTTTTCTGAAAGCCATCTAAAGCTAGTTTTAGCTGAAAAGGTTTTTTTTCTTCTACTTTCAGGGGAAATTCGGGTGAATGAGCAACTTGTGCTAACATGCATGCATACCCTAATGGCCAGGGAACACAACAAGATTGCTCGTGGCTTGGCAGATGTTAATCCACACTGGGATGACGAGACTCTGTACCAGGTATGACTTTTCATGGTTTCACTCAAACAGGGCCGGATTAAGGGGGTGGCCACATGGGCCGCGGCCCATGGCGGCAAATTTTGCAATTTTTTTTAATGTAGGTATAAACAAAATCGGATTCAGAAAAAAAATTACCAATAAGAAAAGGAAACAAAATCTCTTTCTCCTGAGAGTATAGGAATTTCTAATTTTGTCGTTTTTCGGTGTTGCAAAAGACAGTATCTTTAATTGGTCGAGCTAAGAGAGGAACTAGACACGCAATTTGGCCTGGAGGTCAGCGCGGAGAGGAATGATGACGAGGACTTGAGATGAAAAGGACAAGCCCTCGGCGCGGCGGTCGGCATGTAACACATATTAGCGCCTACAAGACTGCAGGAATACTTCACGCATTGCGCCAAACACTGTGCTATCAGCGCGGCGCAGGCGCAACGGCGGCGGAATAAGTTAACATTATATTAATTATTTATTTAATTTTAATTATTTAATAATTTAATTATTTAATTTAATATTTAATATTATTTTAATTATTTGTTTTACTTACTTCCTTTCTTTTACTTTATTTTTCCAGGAGGCGCGGAGGATTGTGATTGCCGAAATCCAGCACATCACATACAATGAATTCCTCCCAATAATCCTAGGAAAAGAAGTGATGGAGAAATTCAATCTTCTTACTGAGAAAGAGGTAAGTACTTGGCTAACTGCAAATATATTGCAATTTAGTTTCCGAAATGTAATCTGGAGTACTGATGGAAATGCGAACCGAGCGTCATTTAATGCTGATGGCTGAGAAACTTAAAGTTTGCGTCTCTCTACACTATTCAGTTTTGTGATCTCGAACCTGTAGGTTCTGATTTTTTTATTGTTTGCCAAATAATTGCATTCCCAGTAATATAAGAGTATGTGAGACAGTGAAAAAATTCTTATTAGTCCTCAATTAATATGATGATCGAAAAATTGCTCTGCACTAAACGCCTCTATTATGTGCATGTCGGGCATCAATTATTATAAAGTCTTAGGGAGGGTTTCATTCTACGTTCTGGCTTTCTCTGCTGTGTTTCCTTTTTATGGGGAGGATCATAAACTCATTATTACCGTTAAAATTCTGTTATTTTTTCTTATTGCTTATGTCATGGGAGAACTGTGATAAACCTATAAAACATAGATACTGTGTATGTTCCGGGACATTTGTTACTTGCCTAGCAAAAAGAACTACACCTCGCGATTAACCCTGTCAACCCTATATCTTAATGCTTTACCGGGCTCATCTCAAAGTATATTTACAACCTTTTATCAGCCAAGGAACGACTTATCCTGATGCAGTAGATGCCACTCGTTCATTGAAATAATCCGTGGTTTAGGGGCCGTAAGATGTAACTGACCCATGACTATAAGCATTGATTCAACTTATATATAGTGAGAAGCCCATGCAGAAATTAGGAAGAAAAGAATTTCTACGCGAATCAATATTTTAAATTAAGTCAAACTCAATCATTCTGCCCTAAAATATCACTCTAACTTGTTTCATTCGTAGGGTTATTGGGACGGCTACGACCCGGAAATTAACCCAAACATCCTGGACGCCTTTTCAGCAGCCGCCTTCCGATTTGGGCACTCTCTACTTCCGACTGCAGTCGAGAGATGGAGCAAAGCACACAAATTTATAGGTACTCTTGCGACATAATTAAGCACGTAAAACAATATAACTTGCAACATAACATTATCAGAAATATTTATTTGTTTTAGTTTTTACTTCCGGTATAAGTAATACTGATGGGCCACTGGCCAAAGTCAGCAATACACTCCCACTCGCTTGAAAATTGAAAAATTATGGTAAAATTAGAACACGGAAAAAACCGAGAGCAAATCACTGATAAAAATTAAGAATTGCATTCGTAATGAAATTAATCAATATATAGAAATGACCTGACGATGCTTGACCTGCTTGTAACAACGGACTTGCAAGAACTGCAGCAAACAGTTAGAAGAGCCCCTTCAATTAGTAGATGGGCAACAAACACAACACTTAGCACAAAGGCCATACGATCGTGAGTCGTGACTTAAATTAATTGCAACAAGCGCTGTTTAGGTATCAACCAAAATGGGATTATTTTCTGCTATTACTATCTGAAATGCAAATAAAGAGAATCTACCTTCATTTTGTTCACCTTATTCGGCAGTTTTGATTTGATGAGGTAAGTCACGGAGAAAAAAAACACGGTTATTCGACAGTTACCACGGAAATAATGTCACATGGGAAACCACGGTAGTGAAACGGTGGATTTTGGTAATATTATTGATGAACACAGTAGCATAACCATGCTCATAATAGTATGTCTGTGCCCACAGTAATATTACGGTGAACACGGTCATATCGCCGTGCTCATCGTTACAAGAATCGAAATTCATGGTTCTTCTACCGTGGAATCCCGTGAGACATTACTACCGTTGTAACGGTAGAATAACTGTGTTTTTTTCTCGGTGTAGGTTACTTTTAATTACAGAAAAAAAGAAAAAAATGCCAAAAACTATTTAGGTAACCTTAATCTGCATTCTGGTGAAAAGTCGAAGAAGAAAGTCTTAAAAAATTCGGAGCGTGCTGTATATCCTATTTTGAGAGCTCAAATTTGCCTCCATTGTGTCTCTCATTCCCAAAATGTTGAGCCTAATTTCTTTGTCTCGTTGTGTAGCGTCAAAACGGTTATCAGACTTGATCAGACGTCCATACGATCTCTACAGAGCAGGTGTCATGGACGAATACCTGATGGGACTTATGAACCAAGTAGCTCAAGCAATGGATGATTCCATCACACAAGAGGTAATCTTGAAGTAAATGAACATTGACAGTAAAAGCAATAGGGCACATTACAGCCAGAGGAGGCAAACTGCTATGGGATGACATGTTAATTCACTAATCCTCATGTTTTGCTTTATTTTCATTTTATTTACGTCACCTTTTTGAAATTATAAAAATTTAATGTATTTCTTAAAATTTCAAGGGAAGAAAGTCTTCCCTTTTTTCTTAAAAAAAAAAAAAAAAAAAAAAAAAAAAAAAAAAAAAAAAAAAAAACTGGAACGAGCTGCTTCAGGTGAAGATTGTGTGGAGTATGTGAAAGGTGTAAGTAGTTAGGCCACGGATTGACAATACATGCGTGGTTATGAAAAATGTGTTCTGGTGGTTGATGCAATCAATGTTCCCAGACTTCAAAAACCATTCATTTCACAGTGCACTACTATATGAAATGCACACTGTGCATTTCATATAGTATGTGCACAGGAATTTTGGTGTTGTTGAAAAGTTTCACGGAATTTGAGAGAAAGGTGGGTGATACTGAAAGGAGTAGGATGGAAAATGGGAAGCCAAGTAACTTGGGTCAAATAGGTCATCTTTTTTTCAGAAAAGAAGATTTTCAAATGGTCTCAGTTGTTTTCAAAACCATCCTAGGTCGGTTATGAAATTTTTATGTGCCTGTTCTCATAGTTCCAAGTCAAATACCCATCTTAAAATTGTCGCGTTGAGCCACACATTATGATTCCCCATCAAATCATTGCATATGCGGATACCTCAGTGAATTAAATCTGTTATTACCTCTACCCTCAGGTGACAAATCATTTGCTCAAAAAGCCAGGCAATCGCTTCGGGTTGGATCTGGTGGCATTCAATATGCAAAGAGGCCGAGAATTTGGCATTCCTGGTTACATGCAATTCAGGTAAATAATAAGTTGAGTCCCAGTACTCAATTACTCTACTCGCTCGTCCGCAAGTCATGAATGCATCGATTCCTGTGATTAAAAGATTCTTCCATGCCATCGTGTATTAAAATTAAACCTAGGTAATGACCTTAGGAGTGAGGAATGCAATAAAGTATATGTTGAAGCACGAGGGCAAAAATGGGGGCAACTTGAGGGCAATGACCGGTAAAACTACTGTGAGTGCACCTCTGTAGTTTTTGAATGTCATGCGATTGCGTGCATATCTTTTCGTTTAATTGTTTCGTTTTTTTTCGACACGAACAGAAGGAAATTGTTCATGCTGGGTTTCTGTTATACGTCAGTCTGCAATTCTATATTTACCAGTAAACTATAAGCCATTAAACATAGTACACTGTTTCAGTTCCTCTTCGTACATTTATCTATGATTTAACTAGTTAAAGTTTCGGAGTGCTCTCGGAAATAAACGAGGCACTTAAAATACAATAAGAGGTAGGATCAAGAAATCAAAACGCACATAAGATCTTATATTTGCAAAATAAAAGAGGAAAAATTGAATGACTGTAGCTAACTTACCTTCCAAAGAACGGCAGTGCATCTCAGGTGCAATATTTTTACAGGCCAATCAATCCTAGTTTCGCATTTTCTTTTATCAGAACATGTAATGTATTCATTCGTTTATAGCATTCCTGTACGTGTCAAATGATGGCTGAATTCTCAGATTTTTTTAACACTCCAAAATTTCACAAACTTGAGTGCAAAGTTGGTGTTCAGACTGAAACCAAATGTGATTGATTTTGCGAAGCAAAAAGCAGACCTTGATAATTTTTTGTTAAATGAATGGAGAAATCTAAATAAATGAATAAATGTCCGTCTTTATTAACACTGAGGATTATAAAACTACTAACTTCCGGTAAGCAGTTTTTGGCAATACATTTCGAAGATAATTTCAGGACAGTTAATACCAATGCTTATAATTTTATTTTTCTGCTGTATAAAATTAGTTCCTTTTTTCTCCAGGAAACTTTGCGGTTTACCAGATGCCAACACATTTGAGGAGTTGTTAGGTACAATGTCTAATTCGACTGTCTATCGATATCAGTCAATTTATGAGTAAGTATACTCTCAAACTGTTGTTTTACATTTTGCACTTATTCCGTTCTCTATATCAAATATAGATAACCGGTTCTTGTATTACGTATCACATTCTATAATATAAAATATAGAAATAACGCGTGACGCATAACCCCTCAGGCGCGAAGCGTCTCGGAAGGTTCGATCGCGGAGCAATCAGGGGATGTAGTAGCCTCCTACTCCCAATAGAATAACATAACACTAAATGTTTTGCATTCGATACAAAAGTACAAAATCATCTCTCACCAGCGATAGCATAAAAATAAACCACAAAACCCCCTTAGGAGGCTTTCACATTTAAAGGGGTAAAGAACGGTCTTTGTCCGGAGGTGGCTACCGCCACCCATCAGTATGAGTTTCCAAATTTGAGACGGACGAGGTAAAATTTTTAAAGTTTTCTTTCATGAGAAACGTACACTTTTTGAATTTGGAATCATTTTCTTAGCCCTGCTATGACAGTGCTCTCGAGGACACCGTCCAAGAATATACCTAGAACATACTACAAGAACATACGTCCAAGAGCATACTACGTATATTTTGGAAGTTCCTCTCTATTTTCGGACGGTCGACCAACAATGTATTTCGCAGCTATACTCTAGAATGAAAATATGTACCTTCACCTTAATAGATTATTCATGTTGGTAGATTAACATCGCCATCAACTTTAAATAACCTTTACAGTTTAACTTTGCCATTCGCGCAACCTCACGCGCTTTGATTTACTTCGTCATTTCAGACACCCAGAAGATGTAGATCTTTGGTCCGGAGGTGTTTCAGAGCGGCCTTTGCCTGGTAGCATGGTGGGCCCTACTTTTGCATGTATCATTGCAACACAGCTCAACTACATTCGAAGGGGGGACCGCTTTTGGTACGAGCTACCAAATCAACCCTCGTCTTTTACTTTAGGTAATCACTCCTTCCCTTATACTCTTAGAAGATACCTCTCAGTTTATTAGACACCAAATAATTATAGCCATCGTAATAAAAAAGGCATACAACTTGCATTTTTTGTATTCATTCGCGTGTGATTTGATTAATTTATCGAAATAAAATGTATTTTCTGAGTAAATTCTAACACACAGAAAAATTAAAAAATGGAAATTTTCTATTCGAATTAAGTAGTGCAATTCAAGTTGCATCAACCAAGTTCCAAAAAAAAAAAAAATCCAGAACTTACCACTTGTTTGCAATGTGAGTCGAGATGGCAATAGCCGTGAGTTTACTCAAAAGATCGATGAATCCTTGAAATATTCATTCCATTCATGAGAAATTTTTTTTTTTTTTTAAAAAAACAAGAAAAAACATTTCTTCTCAAAATGAACCATTGAGTGAGAAGATGACTTTCCTAACACGTGAACTAAGAATATCCGTTTTAACTCTTTTTTCAGATCAATTGAATGAAATTAGAAAAAGTAAACTTTCTAGGGTCATTTGTGATAATACCGATCTGATTGATACCATACAAATTTACCCAATGGTATTACCAGACCATGATATGTAAGTATGAGATCTTCAAACTTTTATTTTTCACAAACATCCAATCACACGATACCTTGACTTTATCACATATTTTACCATGATATAAATATATACGATTTGTTAAAATGTTAACTACTCTAATCTGTCCGGCTGAGTAAACAAAAAGCGGCTTGTGGATTCGATTTTGCAAAGGTTTTCATGACCTTCCCAAGCTTGATGACAGAAAATCAGGAGTCTGCACTGGGCTGAGAACGAGACAAATTGGACTGCATTTTGCAATTTGGAACTATAAATTCTGGCCCGGTTTAAAAACAACGTATGTGCCATTAGTTTCCCTATGCACATACGTGTTTTTTCAGATGAGACAGAATTTATAGCTCCAAATTGCAAAATGCAGTCCAATTAGTCCAGAACGTTTCTACAAGTGCTTCTTTAATTGGTTGTAACTACATAATGCAGCGAACAGCAGATCTTTCTAAAGAATAATTTTGCTAGAATCAACTATTTCCCTCAATTACGAGTATGGAAAGTCTCGTAGTTTCGTGTAAAATTAAACGCAGAATGGTAAAATAACCATCTAGCTCTAAGCTCCGTCTAGAAAATATGTGCGTCCTGCCGTCGTTTGTAGAAAAAATTTCGGAGGAAAATCCTCATTTCAGAGAAAGCACGTTTTAAAGCTCATTGAAGCAATCAAGAAGATTAACATGAGTAAATACTTAATACTTAGCACCGCACTTGGGATAACAAAATCCGTGTATTTTGCACACACTTCTCTTAGAAAGTCATTCCCTTAATCCATAAATTACTAATCAATCCTATCATAAAATTTATTTTGATTCTGAAAAAGTAGTTTTGGACTAGATTTTTTTCTTTTTTTATAGCTTTTTCAATGTTTTGTCATTACTTTCCTTGCAGAAATCCGCGAGTTCCATGCAGAAGTGCGATGATACCACGTATCGACCTTTCAAAGTGGGCTGACACACCTAGCAACCCTTCGATACCACTTTCCTCCCACTTCGATTTCGTGAGTAGCTTCGATCAGTCTGCTTTCGACCCATTCCTGGCCAAATAGTAGATCTCACTCGTGGCTACCTTAGACCTTTGAAATTGTGTACAAATTATGTAGTTTTCTCTCTCGTTTTTAAGTACTGTAAATACTGCCTCAAGATCTCCGCTTGCCTGGCCAAAATATCGTTGCTCTCGCACATGATTTTTTTTTTTTTTTTCGTTTTTATTTTGTCGGTCCGAATATTAACGACCACGACGATCTTATAGCCATAAACCTTGCGGGTGAGACTCTCCGCTGCGTAAACTTTTCCCCAAAAGTTGTGCTTTTTGACTCGTCAAATAAAGCAAGGACTCGATGCATTGTGAGGATCACCCATGTTCAATCAAAACGTGACGGAGTTGGGTAGAAAGGAAATTAAGCTGCGGAGTTACAATTTGACCTTACCACATTTAGCTCGGAGCAAATATTGGATCGCGTCGAAAAGTCAAAAAATGGCTAGAATTTTGGAATGTTCAAAACTATTTTCAACTCTTGCGTTACAAAGCGACGCAAAAACAATTTCTCAATAATGTAAAGAACATTCACACAAATTTGACCTCTTCGCTTTTTTCTTCTTCCCTGATTCCGTCACCAATTTGAATGAACAAATTTCCAATCAATTATCAGAGAAAAATTATGAAAAGCATTTAAGAGCTTTAACAAGTTTTGAAATCTACAAGAGTTTGCATGAACCATGGAATATCTGCTCAGACTTCCCATAAAAGTTAACTTTTGCATTGACCCGACAGTCCTTCTATATTTTTTGCTCAGCTTTGTCAGAAAGGTGGATAGCAGCTTTATGATTCAGCAAAAAGCTCTTTTTTCCTTTTTTTTATCAAATCTGGTTATACTTAAAATTACAAAAATCCTGTGCGTATCAGTGCAATAAGTTAAAATCAAAATGCGGCGGAGAATCTTGAAATTTTAGTTGCCATATTTGCATTTATGTACCATTTTAGACAATTTCTTTTCCTAATGTTTTACTATCTATCTTTTAGGTCTTATCGACTTTGTTAGTAGCTCAAATCGCGAGGAAATAAATTATTGAGTGAAATCGACTGATTAAAACATCCTGGGCCTTTAGAACAAGAAAAATAAAATATGATTTCATTCTGTACGAGGGAAAAATCGTTTTTCTGTCTTATTCTGTCATACATGGACAGAGAGCTTAATTTGTGTTAAGGCAGGCTGATCGGTTTGATTTATGAAGTGTGGGTTGAATTCTTAATTTTTTTCCTGTGGCATCTAATCACTGTTTCCAAGCCTATATGAAATACGCTTAGAATAACATTTGGGTGTTTTACATTAGCCTATTGGCTCTCGTTCATAGAAATATCAATTTATTACGAAGATACTTAAAGGTTAAAGTTCACCCAAAAATTTAAAAAAAAACACTCAAACAAAGCTCAAAGTGGCATTAACTCAAGGAATTATTTAGTCGATACTCGCATTCGAGGAGTCTTAAGCTTCTCAAATTTTGAAGACTTCAATTTTAGGGCAAAGTGCAACATTTTAATTATAAATTATTTTTAAAATTTGAAAATGTTCCAATTTTGACCACCCTTACCTTTATGTTTCCCAGAGGCTCTATTTTTGTACAGTCAAACTTTGAGTTTATTGTGATCTGCCACATGCGACGTATACATAATATGCGATAGCTGTATGCTCATGATTGTTGCGCCATTTTAATGACTGCAGTGCTTTAGTATTTGTTGTATACAGTAGAGTCCTGACTTTCGTAGGAAATTTTGTACTTTTATATGTTTTCTTTGCTTCAAGTATGAAAGGAAAATTCAGCGAAGAATGAATGTCATACATCTGTTACACTTCGTTGGTGAAATTTCCCATAGTCCGGAGACTGCGTACAACTTTTTTGTCCTGACCGTGGACTGGCTGATGTTCTTGCCCACTCCGTGAGCTGGACACTGAACAGCCAGCCCGCGGACTGACCTATTAAAAGCCTGGAAATTACACCAACGGGGCGTAATATATCAACACTTCAACAGGTCATACGTGTATTTAGCAAATTGTTCACTGTGATTAACCATCACTTGAAGGATTTAGTAAACATTTCCGATAAGTGAATTTGATGGGCAACAGTTTTAAACAAATTATAGGGAAGGTATTGGTGATTTCCAGGAAGAGTTTCAAAACGTGACTTGCCCTAAATAGATCACCAATATTCAATTTAAACCCCCTATGAATATGTACCTATATTTTTCTAAATCATACACGTCGCCGTAATTTTTTAACTTTAAACCCATCATCCTCAAAATCACAAAATAAAGAACTCAGCAAACTCATTTACCGGAATATTTATACACCATGTAAACTATTCAACCAATCTTATCTACTTTTGGATTTTCTACAATATTATAATACTGCGCTAGTAATCCAATCCACACTAAAGTAAATGATTGGAACTCATCGTTTTCCCTATTTATGCTAGCATTGTAGAAGTGTGCGAATGATTAAGAAACAGAGTGTGTGGAGAATAATGCTGAGGAGCTCATCTATCACACATTGTCACACAACGATCAAATGTATCAGTACTAAGTTCATATCATTATGTCTTCTCAGTTTGATTAACAGTGTATAAAACCAAACCACAATGCAAGTAGCCATAAATAAAACTCGTGTATGACGCATTCAGCAGCGTCATGTATAAGGCTGTCGATTTTACATGTGTGGACGGTGATTTTATGGGATACGCGACATCATTTTGTTTCAAGTTACCTATTTTTTTTGTCAATATTGAGATTTGCGTAAAAGTCACTTGTCATTGTTCATGCTAAAAAAATATACCGAATAAATTTATTTTGCATTTCTTTTTTACAACAAATACTTGATTTGATCTTAAAAAAAGCACCTGTCCCCATATCATGCATTTTGTAAACTTTTTTTAATATTATTTATTTTCTTTCTACTCATTCTTACTTGAAATATGAGTGAGTTTTCATTTCGTCAAAAAGAACATGTCGACCGTATCTAAAATAATACGAGAAGAGATAAGTCATTGGGTGACTCATTTTTCATGGATGATTTCTTGAACTCAATTTTTGGCGAATACTCAAGTGACGTTTTATCACTAAAAGATATTGCAAATCGACTGCGAAACTCCCGAACCACACTGCCGTGCTAAGGAAGAACGCAGCATGAACATTCGAGAGTTGCCAAATTTCCTTCGCTAAAATGTTTATTTTTGAGGAAAGTTATGAATAATTCTCCTGTAAATTTTCAGAATCTGTAGGTGAGATGGCGAACGAAATTATCTGAAAAATTGGGAGGAAAATATTCATAAGTTTACCAGGAAATTCGCGCATTATCAAAGGAAATTTGGCAACGCCTGAAGGTTCATACGGCGTTTTCCCTCAGCGCGGCAGCACACTCTCTCTTCGCGGTGTTTTTAAGTCTCGGGAGAAAAAATCAACACAAAATTTTCTTTGCACTGAAAAGAAAAGCACGGCAGTTTTTAAGAATTGCCGTTGAGTAGTTTTCCTTTGAAAAAAAATATGTATGACAGAATTTCTACAACGTCTAGAGCCGAGATACGTCGTTTGGAAGTTTTACCGTCGATATTTTTGTAAACAGGTGGGTGTGCGAAAAGAAACGCTTGAATTTAATTACACTTTGCGCAACGTCTCCTCCTACATTTTATTCATGAGCTGAACTTCAATTAAACTTTATCGAGGTGGGGAGAGTTATTGCACAACGCTTTGTGAGGAGAAAAAAGAAAGCAAGGGAAGTTTGAAGGGAAAGGTCATTTTTCATTGTGACCAAGTATTACACTTTATATCTGCTGCTCTTGTACTTTCATAATGCAGCTGGATCTAAAGTTGAGTGAATTAATTATCAAAAAATTTTAGCATGTATCAAGAAGTGTTGAATTTTTTGGCGAAAATGAACTTTTCGGATGTCGATGGCTAAATGCGAAAAATACACATCCCAAATACAACGTTAAGTATCTCCTATTACGTTTTATTTTCTTCAATGAAAACTAATCCACATATTCTCTTGCAATTACTCGTATTTTTTTGTTTAGAATGAAAGGAAAAACTCACAAAAAATGTCAATAAAAACTATTGCATGGTTTTCCATGAATACAATTTTTTAAAAAAAAGACATTAGTGAAGTCGCACAATGTAAAGTACTAATTTTTAGATTTTAGCCATTCATATACTTATGTTTATTTTCCTCTCTGGCTGTCAAAACTAAGCATTAGAAATTTTAGAACGTTTTCGTGTAAATTTATATTTTTTACTTAATTTATTGAAACGGTTTTGTCCGCATGTTCCTGCGTCCATCTATCAAAGTTGTACATACATATTTTTTGAGATTCTAAGACTGTAAACAGATGCACGAACGGTAGTTCATGGGCAATTCATGTGCTTTGAATAGGCAGAGTACAACAAAACATGTCTCCCACCAAAGTAGCGTAGAGCTTGGTCATCTAATTGATCGATATTGTAAATTATACGCTTCAGCAAAACCGCGCTTCTTGGAGTTTTGGAATCATCATTTCTAAAGTAAGTATGCGCTTCCTTTTAAATTTATCCATCACATTTCTAAGTAATATGCCAATATTTGGACTCTTTTTTAAAGTTACTTTTAAAGTCGGCTAACTTTAAACTTATCAAGAAGAATCACCTATAAGATGTCACACAGCGATCAGTTTTGCCCCGTTTTAATCGTGTTCAGTTGAAGTGATTAATCCTCACTTCAATGATTACTAAGGAGATCTGTATGCCATGGTGCCATTTTGATGACAACAACCGTATGCGACCATTCTATTAAATTACTGTGCCTGTTACGTGCAAAAAAGAGATGGCGCACTGCTTATCTTGATGGTAACGCCGAAATCTGTTCGCACTCAGTTGATATGCATGTTGCGTTTGCAAGAGATTGCAGGCGTCTCAGCTTGTCAAAGCGCATAGTGCATGTGTGATGTTGCGGCTTGCACTCATTTTAAATCGCCACGAGGTATCTCACACATATATTTTAAGACCCCTCATTTTTTTCAACGTTCTAAGTATGAATAAACATATCTTCTTTTCGGCGGTGATGCTAAGTGGTTGTGAGAAATGAATGCAAATTTTGAGACAATGTACGAGGTATATAGGGTCTATATAGTTCAACGGTAAAAATTGTTACACAGCACGTAAAATATACAGCCTTTTACATGTTTTTTTCTTTAAATTGCAGGGAAATTTTCGTGACGTAAATGTTACGGGAAACTCTAGCAGTGCGGGCGGAAAAAACAAAATGACCTCATGCAGTAACTGTGGACCAGAACCACCGCCTATCACGGTCCAAAACTTTACTCTTTGGGACGAGAGCAAAAAATCCACCCTCGAGAGTGAGCCTCTTACTTCGATGGAGATAAGTCAAATCGAAGAGGACCCAACCAAAGTCCAGTCAATAGTGAGCAAGCGTCTATTCTACAAGGACGCAGAGCAAATCACCAGCCAAGCGAACCGCACGAAGCGATCGGCACCGCGAAAAACTGACGTCGCTGTGGTTCCTAAAAAACCCTCCAACCCAATCATGCTCACCAAATTCGACGGAGGCAAGATCGAAATCATACCGCTGGAAATCGACGCAAGCGACTCTAATCTGATGACGCAGGCCATCATGAGAGACCAAGCCAAGGAGAGCGGCCCACGGCTGGAGCGGGTTGCACACATAGTCACCAACATCGTCCACGCGCCGCGAGCGCTCTCTTACGGACGAGTCTCGTACCCCTACGACAGCAGCCTTACCTCCACCCGCCATCCCCAATCCGTCGGGATGCCGCACAACAAACTCGTTATCCGCCCGACAAGATTTCGATCCCAGTACAGGTTCCCGCCCGATCCTGCCTTTCACTCCGGAAGCCCTTACTCGCAGGAATTCTACCCGGAGAAACCGCGCAAGGCCAAGAAGCTCCCGGCCAAGCTGATAGACGTGCACGACAACCACGACACCCAGTACGAGTACGTCGAGATGGACTACAACCACGAGGGAAAGCTGGTGCCCAAGAAACCGCCGAAATACATGCGCGGCCGGCAGAAGGGACCGAGCTACGGTTACGACTACTACAAGAAGTTGACGAAGCCGCACAAAAAAGGGTCTTCTAAAGTTTACAACCCCAGTTACAATGAGGAGACGGACCGAGGAGAGGGCTTCGACTACCAAGACGGTTTCGACCGGAAGCGGAACCCGGACTATGAGAGATCCGCCGAGGATGACGTCAGCCAAGAGGATGGCGAGGATCGTGACAGTGCAGAAGGGTATAAAGGTGATGAGGAACCCCCGGTCCACAAAGCGAGGAAGCCCAGCTTCGTGCCTTCACAGCCGTACCCGACCGGGCACTACTACCAGCCCCCTCCCGAGAGTCCAACAAGGCCGCCTCATAAGTTTATCCCGGTGCCGAAGACCCTGGAGGAGTACCATCAATTGCATGGTACCAAGTTCTTGAACTCCTACCGGCCGGAGGAGGACGACAAGTACACGTTCCACTACCCGAACGACAACCCGGATGTAGGACACTACGACGAAGAAGAATCCGCCACCTCCAGTCCACGACCCCAAAGTCCTCCTCGACCCTACAAACCACCAAGAAGTCACCTCAAGCGACCGCGGCCTGCCTTCGACGACTCGAAACCCGCCTTCCGGGAACTGCCGAAGCCCGAATTCCAGAAGTCAGAATTCCCCTCGGACTTTCCGAAGGAGTACCCCAGGCCCGTGTTCCCGAAACCGAGCCATTCCGGGTTCGAGGACACCAAGACGCCCACGTCATTCATGTCCGTGACGTACGGGAAGCCTGATCTCGAGATCGAGGCGCAGACACGACACCGAGTGCCATCTACCGGCCGCAAGTCCAAGTTCTCGCAGCCGGAGCCGTACGAGTCGAGCGCGTCCAACGACGAGCTGTCTTCCAAGGAGCTCCAGACCTTCCTCGACCAGGTCAAGAGCCACGTTTACAACGAGGACGGTGGGCTCAAGTCGGAGCTGAAAACCGACCTGTCGTCCGGTCTCCACTCCTCGCACTTCGACGCCTCCATCGACCCGTACTCGAGTTCCCTCGGCAGGAAGAAGGCGAAGAAGGGCTACACCTCGAACGTGAAGGACCTATTGGAGAACGCTAGAGGGAACTACAACAAGAAGCACAACTACCGGAACAAGAACTCTTACTCCGCGTCGGGCAATTCCAACTCGAACTACAACCGCGGGAACTCTCACTCCAGCAAGAAGCACGGCTGGAAAGGGGACGGGAACTCCGGGTTCGGGTTCAAGGAGGCGAACCAACAGGACGCTTTCGACGGGGACCTCTTCGACAAAGACGGGGCTCCGGTAGGGTTCAAGCGGGACCTCTTCGGGAAGGACCGGATGAGCTTGTTGCCATCGGAGAGTAGGGATCTAGCCAGAGGGAACGGTCGGGGTGCCCGACGGGTGAGGGTGCGGGTGACGAAGAAGAGTCAGGTCTTGGAGGAGAATGAGACCTCGATCAACCCTGTCGTCCGCGACCAAAGGACCACGACGGAGTCGATCCTCAACGCCACCGCCACGACCACAACCGCCAATGCCACTTCGAACTAAAGACTGAATTTCTATAACTTGTATATTTGTAATTAGGGACCACGGTGGGCTCAACAGTCCTAATTGTTGATCCAAATATGTATATGATGGGTCAGGTGCGAGGTAAGTGAATTGTAAGTATGCTCTCCCCGACCCTTTCGACTAGAACTCGGATTTGGATTCCCAACGCTAGAGCTTTGGCTTTAAATTTGAATTTCAATAAACTTTGCAGTCGTGACCGAAAACAAATATGACTGCCTGTTTTTCCTAAAAATTAAAAAAAAA